ATAAGTAGATAATTAAGATCTTTAGATTTTAATTAACCTTTTTAATATAAGCTTCTTTAATTTAATCTTACGATACCTGTATTAAGACTAACAAAGATTTTATAAATAATTATTATAAAATTAAATATAAATAACTTTAAAAATTTATTAAAAAATCTAATAAAAAACGGAGAAAATAAAGTTAAATTAAGAAATTAAAAAAATAATAAATTTAATAAGCTTTGTCATAAATGGCTTAACTTTTTAAAAAAATAAACGTATTTTTTATCTTTTTTTTTAAAATTAAAATTTATATTAAAAAAGTTAAAAATGTTAATATTTATTTTAACAAAAATATTATTTAAGTTTAATAAATTATTAAAAAAGTTTTATAAGTTATAATTATTAAAGGGAAAAAGTATAATTACTTAGTTATTTTTTAAATTATGTTAAAGGATATGTTAAAATAATTATAATTTAATAAACTAGGAAATTACCTTTAGTTATAATGTAGGGATTTTAATATTAAGAAATAATGCATTTTTCGAAATTTACAGCGCAGTTTTTAAAGTTTGTAAGGTTTTTATTATTACTAAAAGTATAAACCTTATAAATTTATATTTAAAACGTTTAAATTTAAAAGGTGGGGGGATTTCTTAAAAGGGTTCTTATTATATTAATATTAAAGGTTTTAAATAATTAAATTAAGTGATATTAAAAGTTAATTTATTAGCATAAATAATCATTTATTTAACTTTAAATTAGTTAACATATTATTTGTTAAAAAATAGTAATATATTTATATTTTAGTTCTAAATAATATGGTATTAAAAGGGTAGGAATGTTTGGAATTTTTATTTAATATAAGATAATAAATTAATAACCTTAAAAAATATATAATTTATAATATCTGGGTTTAATTAGCACACCTATAATAAATCCTTATTTTTAATAATAAAAGCTATTATTTAATAAAAATTTTAATAATTTAAGGTTATTATAGAAAGAAATAATAATAATAAAATAGATAATAATAACGGTATAAATAAATAATAATAATAGTAAATTAAAAAACCTCTTTTCAATGTAAAATTAATAAAATAAAATCTTAATAAGTAAAAAATAAGTAAGTAAGAAAAATAATGAAAGGGGTTATAAGCTTTTTAAGGAATTTAAAAATCTTTTTATAACGATTAAGATTGTTAATAAAATAAAAATAAATTTAAAAAAAATAAAATAAAACTACCAAATATTAATTTTAATATAAATATCGTAAGATTAAATTAAAAAAGCTTATATTAGAAAGGTTAATTAAGATTTAAAAACCTTAATTATTTATTTATATATTTATTTACTTTTAATAAAAAAAGCGTTTAAGGGCATGTGACAGGTGGCCCTGTTATTACCCCCGCGCCTTTTTTTTTTTTTTTTTTTTTTTTTCAAATCAAAGAAGCTTATATTAAAAAGGTTAGCTAAGATCTAAAGACCTCAGCTATCTACTTATATATTTATTTACTTTTAATAAAAGGAAAACGAATTTAAAAAAAGTAAAATAAAGCTATTAAGTGTTAGTTTTAATACGGGTATTATAAGATTAAATTAAAAAAGCTTATATTAGAAAGGTTAACTAAAATTTAAAAACCTTAGCTATTTACTTATATATTTATTTACTTTTAATAAAAAAAGCGTTTAAAAGCATGTGATAAGTGGCTTTATTAAGGTATTATTTAAGTTTAATAAATTATTAAAAAGGTTTTATAAATTATAATTATTAAAAAAAGAAAATATAATTACTTAATTATTTCTTAAATTATATTAAAAAAAAGTTTTGCTATTTACACCCCATAAAATTACTATTGGAGCTTATCCACACCTTAATATATAATAAAATATTTAACGTTTAAACACTATTAATCCAAGCTTTCCAACTAACTTTAATTAAAAGATTTAACATAACGTTTAATTTAAGAACTAGATTAAAATGTATTTAATATTATTTAAATTAGCTTAATTAAGCGGTTTAAATAATATATATTTCAAATTTATACAACCGGTAGCTGCAAAATAATTCAACTTAAAAAATTATAGTTTACCTTGAAAAAGGTTTAAATTAAAATGGTCCATACACCACATAATACCCCTTAATTAACGTCAGGCTAGTGTTGGGCTAACGGTAAAACGTTTATTTCACTCTTTTTTAAATAACTTTGCAGCCATTAATCGCATTAACCTAAAACATATATCTTTTAAAAACTCTAATTAAAACGGTTTTAACGATCTTAAATACACTTTAATCTAAATCCTAAATTAGAAATTATATTAAATCTTTTAATTAAAACTAACTAAAAAACTTAGACCAACAACCCTTAAACATTAATTTCTTATATATTAAGATATAAATAAGCTCTAATAGTAATTTTATAAAGTGCAAATAATAAAACTTTTAAAAAATATATTAAAATAATTATAACTTAATAAATTAAAAAATTACCTTTAATTATAATATAAGGATTTTAATGTTAAAAAGCGACACGTTTTTTAAAATTTACGACATGATTTTTAAAATTTATAAGATTTTTATCGTTATTAAAGATATAAACTTTATAAATTTATATTTAAAACGTTTAAATTTAAGAAATAAAAAAGTTTTTTAAAAAAGTTTTTATTATATTAACGTTAAAAGTTTTAAGTAATTAAATTAAGCGACGTTAAAAGTTAATTTATTAACGTAAGTAATTATTTATTTAACCTTAAATTAATTAATACGTTATTTATTAAAAAATAATAATACGTTTATACTTTAACTTTAAATAATATAATATTAAAAAAATAAAAACATTTAAAACTTTTATTTAATATAAAATAATAAATTAATAGCTTTAAAAAGTATGTAATTTATAATATTTAAGTTTAATTAATACACTTATAATAAGTCCTTATTCTCGATAATAAAAGCCGTTACTTAATAAAAGTTTTAATAATTTAAAATTATTATGGAAAAAAATAATAATAATAAAATAAATAATAATAATAGTATAAATAAATAATAATAACGGTAAATTAAAAAACCTTTTTTTTGGCGTAAAACCGGTAAAATAAAATCTTAATAAATAAAAAATAAATAAGTAAGAAAAATAATAAAAAAGGTTATAAACCCTTTAAAAAATTTAAAAACCTTTTTACGATAATTAAAGTTATCGATAAGGTAAAAATAAATTTAAAAAAAATAAAATAAAGTTATTAAATGTTAATCTTAATATAAGTATCGTAAAATTAAATTAAAAAAACTTATATTAAAAAAATTAACTAAGATTTAAAGACTTTAATTATTTACTTATATATTTAATTATTTCTAATAGAAAGCGCGTTTAAGGGTATGTGACAAGTGGCCCTGTTATTTAAAAAAGATTTAAATTAAGGCTTAAAATAAGTTTTGTTATTTGCACTTTATAAAAGTATTATTAAAGGCTTATTCGCACCTTAATACATTTAAGATTAGCGTTTAAACGCCGTTGGCCCAAGCTCTCCAGCTCGCTTCTGTCAAAAGATCCAGCACAACTTCCAATATAGGAATTGGATTGAAGTGCATCTTATATCGTTAGAATCAGCTCAATTAGACAATCCAAACGATATATGTTTCAGATTGATGCGACCAGTGGTTGCGAAGTTATTCAGAAAAGAGCGAAATAAACGCCTTGTCGCTAGTCTATCACTAGCCTGGCGCTAGCCAAGGGGCATCACGCGATGCACGGACCACTTCAGCTTGTATCATTTTCAAGGTAGACTGCAATCTTTAAACTTGAATAACTTTACAGCCACCGGTAGCGTCAATTTAAAACATATACCGTTTAAACTGTTTTATTAAGGCGGTTCTAATGGTACTAGATACACCTTAATCCAAATCCTACATTGGAAGTTGTGCTGGATCTTTTGACAGAAGCGAGCTGGAGAGCTCGGGCCAACGGCGTTTAAACGCTAATCTTAGATGTATTAGGGTGCGAATAAGCCTTTAATAGCAATTTTACAGGGTGAGGATAGCAAAACTCTTTATTAAATAATAGCTTACCCATAAAACATATTATCACGGGATTAAATTTAGGTCATCAAACACCCTTGTCACATGACCACCCTACGTGACAATCCTATAAAGTAGGACATAAGGGACGTTCTTTACTTATTTTCTCCTTTCTTTTCTTTGTGCTTTAACAAGCAACATCAAATACCATGACACACATGTACTTTTACTGCTCCTCCTGTGTTACTCATGTAAGCTTTACGGTACGCGCGGTGTGGGCGTTAGGTATGTTATGTAAGCCGGTGGCTAGAGCAAGAAATCGCGCTGCTACCTGGTCCAACTTCTCACACAACGTATCAGATTAAAGAAGCCTGTATTGAGAGCAGATTATTCGAGGTCTGAGACCCGGAAAATCTGAGCATATACCTGGAGCCACAAGAGCTATAAAGATATTGTAGGAGCATGTGACACCGCCGACCCTGTCACGATTAAGCAGTTATAATTCAGCTCGACCACATACGAATCATTTTCTTTCATGTAATCAAACCTTTAGCAACGAATGCTAGTTGACAACGGATGCACCAGAGCCTCGTCTACCTCGCAGGGCAGCAATGACAGATCGATATGTGGGTTAAGTAAGTTGATAATAAGAGGTATTAAAACCGGCTTGTTTTGAATTATTTGTTACTGGGATCCGTGTTATGACACTCGGACAACGTCTTTTCACCGTTATTTTATTCTCGTTTAAAACGACCTATCTCGGATACTCGGCCATAATAACGGCTTTAGCTTTAAAACATATCCAAGGGCGGTAGATTGTGGCGGTTAGACTTACTCTATGTATCAACAAGGAACGTGAGCATCGTGTAATTCAGAACTCCAATGAGATATAAAGCTTGCCCCGTAACGTCTTTGAACATGTAGACTCTACGGGTCGATACTCATCTACATCCCCTTAACCTATGGACTCTCTGCATATGCTTAGTTGAATCCTCCATCAACAACTATGTTTCCCTTAACTCTCACTTATTTATGGCTATTGTTCCTAGGCCAGTCCCAAGCTCGGAACATACCTGCTAACGTCCAAGAATTATACGACTCGGTAGTAGCACAGGGATCCTGCAAGAAACCGCTGCAGACGGGCTTCTATGACATGCCTCGCAGCAACGACAACAGTGAGCTTTACACGTTACCCCCCCCCCTCTCCCCTTCAACACTACCGTTAAGAGCCTTCCTAGTCTCATCTATTTACTGTCATATTTCTTATCCCCTGACGCAGGCTTCGTCTACTGTGGCGACCACCTCGAGGACTACGGCATCATCTACCTGCAGGGCAGCCACGGGAAGTTGGCAAACATGGACGTGGACTGTGACGGGGCCATCACGCAGAACGATGATGGAAGGTGCGGCAACGCGCACTCGACTCGGAGCACAACGGCCATGCGGCGGTTTGTCTCTGCGTACGAGAACGGCGTCGTGGACCTGAACCCTTTCGTACATGACTACGTCGTCTTCGGGAATACGGGCGACAGCCCTGGCTGGTCCACTTTCGACCCTCGCGACTATGGCATGCTACCCCTGAGCGTGATGGCGGTCGTGTGCAATAATAGTGTGGTGCGTTACCTAGCTACCTGTCCTTTTGGACCAACTCTACCCTTACCGAGTGGGCGATACCTTCATGATGACTAACTGTCAACCAAGGTCTATGGAATCTGGGGAGACACGAACAGCGACGATGGGGTGAACCCTCGCATAGGAGAATCGTCAATTTCTATTGCGACTCTCTGTTTTGGGACAGACACGGACGGCGAGGCCGGGTACGACAAGGCGGATATTCTGTACATAGGTTTCGTGGGTACCGAAGCAGTGCCAGGCACGAGCGCTAAGTGGCAGGCGGTAGACGAAAACGAATTCCAGGAAAGTATTCGTGGGCTGGGCGATACACTCATACAACGCATTGGCAGGCCGTGACATGAGCCTTGCGCTGGTTTACCTAGCAGGGTGCCTTGTTGATGGATTCGTTTATATCTAGGTGCCAATGCGCTTAATAAACGTACATGTAATAATATTGATTTGGAAATAGGATAAGTTCCGAATTGTCCAGGAGAAGCTAGGCTTTAACAAGCGCCAAGCATTTGTTGAACTTGGGTGATAGTGTACATCAGTAACCCCTATCTGAGGGCCATTTCCTCTTCATGTGATGAACGTGCAAGAGATACATGTTCGCCACAGCACTATGGTATTATAAACTTGTCGCATAGCTATTTGTCACAGCAAATTGGTAAGACGCAAACAAAGAGTCGAAACGTTGAAACGTTGAAACGTTGTTTGCACGTTCCCCGTGAACGGACGGCAAGCCGTTATACCGGTTAGTTGTATTTAGAGTATGAGAAAGATTCCGGATTAAATATCATTCTTTGTGAAAAAGCATTAAAAAGTATTAAAAGGAATAAAAATGAAACCTATTGCTTATGACGCAGATAGAATAAACAACCTCATGACGAGAAAGATGCCTGCGCTCCATACGAGCGTTCGCACAGGCGCGAATCTTCGATTCTCTTGTCCCCAGATATAGACCCACGTATACAAGACCCGGGTCGCCAGGTATGCCAAAGACAGGGTATTGAGGGTCTCCCGTGGCAGGTCAGCGGCGTTGCCGGCCGTTACAGCGGCAGCGTACAGGCCGAGCGTCTCGAACGCATTTGCCCCCGCGGCCTCGGCGCGTTGGAGCCGGAGTTTAGACTAGAACAGATGGGCCATCGTCAGTGATGGGCTGTTCTTTGGCACATGCATATCACCTCTCCTTGTAGTCAGGCATAAACTTGGATCAGGTGTGGCTAACTGGGTGGGCACCTAATGATCGCAAGGAAAGTAGCCGTGGGCGAGTGGCAGAGAGAGACAGAGAGAGAGAGAGAGAGAGAAGAGAACACCAACTAACTCTCTTGTCAATATTGGCCTTCTCGAGTCGTTCGGTAAAGGTGCGCGGATTGGTCCCGTCAAAAAACTTCTTCCCCAGCCCTATATGTCCTGCGTATACCCGGGGCAACAGGGCCTATTACGAATTGATTGCATTAGCTACCTAGGTACTAACCCAAACACCTAATCTATCACTAGAAAGTGCTCTGGGTTTTCGCGTAGTCTTACTAGTACGAATGCCGCTGGGATCTAGACTCGGTGTTAGTTAGGGAGCTCTCTCAAGTGACCATATTCCGCGGGGTATGGATTCTCAACTGACAGTCCAGTAGGATATATTCTTCTCGAGGCCCATATATGATGCCATTGTTCCGGGACGAGTAGGTGTACTGAGTGAGTATTTCTTAGGTTTAAATTTGTTCCCTTTTTAGCTTGGATATGAACCTACGTAGTTAAGATTCTAGTTGATCGAAAAGTTCATGTACTCCTATATATACGGCACCGAGGTAGGGCTTGGTTCAACGATGCGACTCTGATTGGTTCCAATCATTGATGGCTTTATAAGCGATTGACTGGTTAGGTAATGCACAACCTATCTCCTCTTAGTATGTAGGTAGGCAGCCTAGAGTTTAACTTTGACAAGACCTCGAGCTGAGTCGGGTTTAGTTTTGCTCCGTAGGTTGATGGGGGATCCGGGAGTATTAGGAAACTTTACCACACTCGGCACCGAAATGGATCGGACCGTTAATTCTACTCTTACCTTAAATCCTCTGTCGTATTATCTTACTGTCATGGACGAGGCGAGGTCAGAAAAGCGACTCGCTATCTGATCTTCTACACTTTTAGGCAACCGTTAATAGACATGTGTGCGGGATAAATGATTAGCAGCGCATTGTTGATTCAAAATGAAAGATCGCTTACCTAGTGAAGCGAGCGGCTCAAGATTATGCCATCGGAGGATTTGGGCGGGCCTCGCAAGTGGTTCTCATTGGACCTTTTGACAAAAGGGGCAATCAATATAGTCGCCTTCACATGTGTTATTATGTACCTATGTAGGTATGTGTCACCCAAAAATAAACCAAGAGCATCCGACCAGTGTTCACATAGCATTTACCAACGGTCGTACACTATAATTTTTGAAAGCATTTTATGATCGTCGGCAAATCAGGGTATCGTAGCTATTCATTATTTTTCCCGTTCTTATCACACAATATAAATCGCCTATATTTTTTTTTTAAAAACTCCTGGCACCCAAGTCCATGAAAGAGCAATCTCCTGGAGTAAATCCTCGATTGAGAATGAGACGAGATGTTTTAGGGGAATTCTCCCGTGCCCCAATCTCCCCATAGGTCGTTGAGATCGGAGCCAAGCATGTCGAAATTGAATTCTGGATTCGAGCCGGAAATTGGGTTAGAATCCGACGACGAAGGTAATATCCACGGCATTGTCAAAGACGACAAGCCGTCACGCTGGTGATATGGCGAAGTTGCCATCGACATTGTAGGTGTTGCATCCATGGGGAAGGGTGTGGTCGACTTGGATGATCATTAGCAAAACAATGGAAAATAATAGGGGGGAGACGAACCTTGGGTCGGCTAATTGGGTCTTGAGCTATCTGCGGTGTAGTGGTATGAGATTGCGGCGGTTGGTTGGAATAGGGTGGAATCTGGAATGCGAGCAGCTTGTAGTGCAAACTGATGAACCGTTCGGCCGCTGCCGCCTTAGCAGCTTCTGATGTCTTGTTGCCCATATGCGTCTCCAAGAGGCCGAAAGCTGCGCACATCGACGAATAGCCCCATGGGTCATTATTACCACATCTCAAAATCCGATCCTCCTTCATCGCAATGCACTTCTCTACGAGCCTGAGAGTTTCTTCGGCATTTGACATGACCAAGCTCGTGGATCCTATTTGTCCTTTGTCAGCCTGTACTGGAAAAGAGGTCATGCTGTTCATACCCCGAGGTTGATGCAGTGTTATGTTGCAGAGGTTAATGACAGAATTCATGGTATCTTCGCGGAGAAAATACAGAGTTCGAATTCCCTTTTGGTATAATCGGTCGTGCATCACGACGATATCTCGCGCCGCGTTGTAGTATATGAGTTCCGCTACCTGGTACTTCGAGCTGAACTTCCGAAGCTTCAAGTACGGTTGGTGCAATGGGACAAGATACTGCCTCAGTTGGATATGTAGTAAAGTGTGTGCCAGCATCGGCTTCTGAGGAGATTCCGAGTCGCTATTGATTTCTAGGTCCCACGATGGTAATCGATCGATCTCGTTAGTGATCATATCACTATATTGAAGGACCTGTTCCCATTCCAACTCCACTGGCGGACCGGTCAGTATCTTGGTCAGCTCAACCCGAAGTGCGAGACTCCGACGGCCGATGTGCTGGTATGACGAGGACGTGTATTCATTCGGCGGGCGCGAAATTGGTAGTTCCTGAGTATTTTCGTCAAAGCTGCTATCGTCAATGTTTCTAGGAGCGTCTGCATCGTTATGGACCGAGCTTAAGAGTGTTGGGAGCCCCTGATCAAATGATGCCTGGACTTCGAACTCCACCATGGTGGCCCATAATCTTCTTCGCATCTCTGAGATATACGGAGATATTTTTGCTGGGGTATGATCGGGGTCCTGGTGAAGTCCCACAGTAATGCTATCACGGACCATTCCACCTGATGTAGTCCAGTATCGCTTCTTCTTGATGATGTTGACTCTCTTAGCAAGATATAACAAGCAAGAAATTTGGTAGTGAACGAGTTTGCGGTGTTTTTGACTCTGATGCTCATACCACTCATCACACGCCTTGATCCACTTCTCAGCCATCTGCGTCGAGCTGGATTTTACACCCACAAATTTGTTGGAAGATTGCATGTCCAGGCAGCAGGATACAGAGATCATGGATAGTACAAGAGCAGTGAATGAGGCACTTCTTGTCTTGGAAGGGTCCCAGAATGTCGCATACTCGGCCTTGAAAGTAGGTATGTGGATGATGCGATGGATCTGTTCAAACTGGTCCATGTAGACGGCAACGAGTGAGTCGGTCTCATCTCTGGAAGGGAGAAGTGACTCCAGTATGATATCTGATTCTCCGAATCTCTTTTCCCGGTCCTCCTTTCTTTTCCGACGGTCCTTTTTCTGGATGTTGAGCGGCTTAAGCCATTCTTCGGCAGTCTCCTTCATAAAGTGGAAAATGCCGGTGAGTTCCTCGAGGGATGACCAAGCGTTATGGGGACCAAAGTATCTAGTTTTGAAATCATGTCCTCGTAGGTTGTGATATTCTGAAGACTCAACGTTCTGGGGGGTGAAGGAAGGATTTGAGGGCACAGACTGGCCGTCTTTGGCTGAATCTTTGAGAGTTGACGGCGATTCCACCATCGTGCTACCGTCAAGTGAGATTTGCTTTGATAAAGTAGCTCTCAGCTGAGCAACCTCAAGCTCGAGTCGCCGGATTCTTTCATGGTCACGGGCGGCATCCCTGAGGACCGAAGATTCAACTTCTCGTCGGGCCGGTGAGGGGTTCGCAGAAGAACGGCGGATGTCAGATCCAAAGGTCACAGTAGGCGTAGATGAAATAGCCGAGGAAGCCATTTCTCCTGGCAATGTTGATGTTGAACCGGGTCTTGACTCATATGTACACTTGTCCGGTGTGCCGGACTTGATACATCGATCACAGGGTAGTTCTCTGGAGCATGAAAGTTTACGGCGGCGACACTCTAAACACGAAAGGCGAACCCTTTGGCGTTTCCTAGCTGGACCTTGGCTATGGTCTTCCTGTTCATGATCATCTTCCTCAAGCCGAGGGTGGTTGTTGTTGTTGTTGTTGTTGTTGTGGTTGTTATTGTTGCTGTTGTTACCGTTGCTAATGTTACTGGCTTGAGAATCGGCCATGTTCCTGGAGGCGAATCCACGGAAGTCAGGTATTGCACGCAAATTGGCAAAGGCCCGGGGTAGATCAAGATTTCTGGATTAATAAGATCAACTAAGAACACTAGAAATATTATGAGATTAAAAATTAAACATCAAAAACCAAAAATCCATACCTCGACATTGCATTAGGAACAGCTGAATCACCAAAGACAGCAACTTGAATCCTGAAGGAAGAATGTATGTAAGCGGCTCGGAATACGAATTTCCCACTCGGATTTACGGAGTTTAAAAAAGCTGTTGCACGCCGTTGAACCACGACGGTACAATTATTTTTTGCATTTATTTTTATATTATGCCGATTAAATTGTTCCGTATCCAAGATTGACGCGTAACACTATGGAAGCAAATCAGGTATTGATGAGACGATTGGCTTCCTAAACATCCGAAGAAAGGGAACGAAGGAAAGATGGAAGGGAGGAACAAAGTAAGGTGCCAGTATCACGCACGTCACGTGAAGCTGTACGTAGTTGGAGGCTTACATAATACATATTTCCTATGTAGGGCTACATGTACCTAATATATCGATATACATACTAGGTAGTTAGATGCTACATAACATGTACTTTCGTACTTGATGTATCAATTAGAGTAATTTTAGCAATTTGTCGGTATGCGCTATGTAGCTGGGCTGACTAAAGTATGTACTAACCTACATCTAGGCAGTGACATTTGGATAGGAGCATTGTGGCTAGAAATTAATAGTGGCTTCGGTACAGCCCTATCACCCATGCCCTGCCAAGTGCTTTAAGTTCAATACTGCTAGGTGTGCAATGACTACATAATGCTACTCCAGTCCACTACGTCGGTAGTTATGTAGGCTAATGTAGTACATACTCCCTACATATTCAACATTGAAGTTGCACATACACTGTCATACAGTACATAACAGGTACATACATCCTCCACCTGGTGTATGTAATACGAGAAATGCTCTATGTTTGATTCGTCTTACCGCATTGTCTCAATCGTGGATCCCTCGACCATACAACCATACAACCGTACAACCATACAACTCGTATAACCGTACAACCGTACAACGACGCAATGAACGTGATTCATTCATCTCATTTTATGCGTAAACGTCCATTACATCTAATGTAATGCGTGGAGCCTCTAAGCCATAACTAACCTGCCCTGCCTGCCCTGCCTGCCTACGACTTTTGTATATTTAAACGATTTTCATGGACAACGCGTAGATTCAATCCTGAATCACCTTGAAGCTCCCCGGAATGCTTCCATCATCATGTTACTGTCACCTATCACCCTGACCCTCTTAGGCTTCTGGTCGTATTTGGTACACGCCGATATTGTCCCTGGAAAGGCGTTTGATAGATTTATCAGTATTTGGCTCGAAAACCAGGTTCGTAGTTAGTTCCAAGGGAGGCTCGTGTGCTTTGTGCTATCCATGGATATATGCCTACCTTCCTCCTTTGTTCTGGTCACGGATAAAATACTAACTCACGGCCTCGACGCGTGTAGGATTTCGCCAAAGTCGTTGCAGATCCCGACTTTGCAGATCTACGACGATTCGGTATCTTGCAGACCCGTTACTATGCTCATACCCATCCTAGCCAAGTCAGTTACCGTGCTGTTATCCTACATCCCTCAACCAAAGACCGTCGCTGATTCTTGAATGGGGGCATAGCCCAATTATCTTGCCGCCGTGGGAGGAGATTACTTCGGCTTGGACCACGATGAAGTCGTTCGCATTCCCCACAACATTTCCACTATCGTCGACCTCTTAGACGATAAACACGTGTCATGGAAGGGTTATTTCGAGGGCAACCCTGGCCCAGGCTACATGGCAGAGGGCAGTATAGATGCCAACGGGGCCTGGGATTATGTTAGGAAGCACAAGTTGGTCTTTTGATTATGCTGTTTCCAAGCATGCCGCAAAATTAGAGCTAATTTGTCGATGTAGCCCCTTCGTTTCGTATGACTCTATCAATACGAACGGGAGCCGGCTAGCAAATCTTGTGTCCTTCAAAGACTTTAAACGGGATCTTGCGGCTGGCACCGTCCCGCAGTTTGTCATGATGTCGCCGGACATGCTAAATGACGGCCACAACACTACGTTGGACTATGCGACCAAATGGGCCCACACATTCCTGCTTCCGTTGCTGGCTGACGGTACTTTCAAGGAAAAAACCTTGATCCAGCTCACATATGATGAGACGGAAGATTATTCGAAGCCCAATCGGATCGTGTCTCTGTTGCTGGGCAATGCCGTTTCCGATAACCTCAAGGGTTCTGAGGACGACACATTCTATACCCATTTCTCCATCCCATCTACAATGGAACACAATTGGGACCTAGCGAGCCTGGGCAGGTTTGACGTCGGTGCTAACGTATTCAAGATAGCCGCAGACATCACCGGCTACATCAACAAGGATCCGCCGAATGTAGCAACCGTGAACAACTCCATCTCGTATCCTGGTTTCTTGAACAGGAATCACACTACCAAGTTGACCTTAATTCCTCCACCAAATCTGAAGTTGGTTGGCGCTGGCGGACGGTCTGTACTCGGTTCTATCCGCAGCGAGTGGAAAGATCATGCCAGGACAAAGACGCCGTATGATGGGAGCGGCAGCGTTTATGATGGAGATCATGTCCCTGTATATAAGCCGCAAGCGCGCAATAAATATTCATAAATTGTCATACTATTTTCATCCCGTTACCAGATCTTTTGAGTGTTTACACCTGCTAATAGGTTAAGAGCGATATGCGAAAGTAACTCGCACGAAAATTGCAGTGTTTCTGCACTCGACTGAGACATTTTTCTAGTTGTGGTTTCTGTTTATCCAGTTTTCTTTTCGTTATGTGATGAAGCAAGAGATTTAAAAGAAATATGAACTGTTTAAAGGCTTGCTGATGATTGAATTTACTTGAAGCACTCGGCAGGGTAAAATAACATAGCATAGCTAGTATGATCTCATGACTGCAGCTGGAAGAGTAGGTATATTCGAATCTATTCGTACTGAGTAGCATTATGATGAAGGTAGGTAGGTAGGTAAGTAGTACGACTGCCAAATCCTTGTTCCTGGGCTTGCGGATGCGTGTGCGGAACGGGTTTCATCAAGTACATACGTACTAGGATATGTAGATAGATGATCCAGATGAAGACAGGAGACATAAACATGTATTTATACTGTATGATATTTTATTTTATTTCTACTTTTGGCTATCGCGGTGGCGAGATTTGTCATCTGCCCAGTCAGCTCTACGCCGGCTCTGTGGGACCGCCTGGACCCGCACCAGACGGACGTCGGATCGAGATCTATGTAATGTACTACTCTTTCATATTCATATTTGCTGCCTGCCGGGTTACTCGGCTATGTATGGATGCCTTTGAGCCCCGTTAATAGGTATGACAATGTGTATGTATGTAACATGACCTTTAGCAGCCCAGCCTATCAGCCAACGGAGCTTGAGCTTTCGTAGGTAAGGTCACTATAAAACCCCCGGCCAATTAGAGGATGGCGATAGTTCGTGACTCAGATATTTAATCTCTGGCGTCCCTATCCTGGCTGGCCATGTTGAGTAGACAACTGGACACCTATGTAGGTAGGTGTACCTTAGGTATGCATAACGCCGATTGTGTAACACCGTACTACGCCCAATCGTTCTTGTAAGAAAAGTCTAGGAGAGTATTATGTATGTAGCTCGTCGTCGTCGTTCATTGGGTACTTATACAGTAGGTACAAGCATATGTAGTAGTACAAGGGAGTAAGCATTCCCTACCTACAGCTTCTCCACGTTGGTGGCCTACCAAGGTTCTCTTACGGTCTTATCTCGGGGCGAGTTTTGCACCCGCGAGAGGAAGGAAAGACACATGTAAAATAGACGTGTTATCCTAATTCTCTGGGTCTCTATTTCTCCAGTATTGACGAACCAGGCGTTGGGGGGCCTGATGGATGTTTTTGAGAAGAGGGGATAGCGTAAGGGAGAGGGGGAGGATCCCGAGGAAAGTCCCATTAGATAAGTACCAAGTATCTATGTAGATAGATAGGTCTGGAAAGAAAGACAGGGAAAAGGGGGGGAGGCTTCGACAAATAGAAGACGTTAGAGCAAGTACCTAGATGATAGAACGTGGACGTAGGATATTAATCCATTGTCAGATGATTCGAAAAAATATATCTCCCCATGTATATATGTTCTCCCCAGTTATCCGAGGAAAGCGTGGCGAGTGTCGTGAAGTTGGCTGTGAAGGATGAGTTATCGGAGGAGTAAAAAGATTTTTTTTTGGTGGATTTATTCGATAATCCAAATACTATGACAACTAAGAAGAGGAGGTCTTAAGCTGATTGATAATGAAATCATGAAATCCTGACTTTAGTTAACTCGAAATCATCACGTCGTTTCATCATAAGTAGTACGGTAGATAACCGGGGAGGAAATTCAAAGCCTGCTCGCACGCCGAGGCAGATAGGCCGACTGCAATAGGTAAGTGATACTACCAACGCCTGAGGCATTGTGCGGCGAATTTTTAGCCTACCGCGGAAGCATGCAATAGGCGGCTCAGAGGTGCCAAGTCTAAGCGCGGGGCGATGAGTCGCCTTTCTTCTCTTCAACCGAAGCGTTTCCCATGGTGATTGGGTTTGGGAAAGTGGCAGGGAGCCACTTACCGCGGCCCATAATCCCAGTAACACCCCGGGTGATAGTGATGGTGATTAGATAGGAGGGAACGGGTAAGGGGGGAGCCGGCGTTGTTGTGGCGTGGAAAAATATGACCCCCGGATGCATACAAACAGTAAGAGCAACATGACCAACATCGTCTGTTTTCCAATCTTCGTACCCCTGGCATTCATCTGACTGATGCTTATTCTAGATTTCCACACAAACTGACCCCTGACCCCTCTGCTCTATACCGTAGGGGATACCTAGGAGATGTGGCGTTGGGGGAGGCTAGATCTATAGCCATGCTATTGTCTTGTGTATGGGTTTGAATGTACCGCTCCCACCAGCGGATGAAATGGTTAAGCGTGCGATCTACATTCTCGTCTACCATGCTAAACATCCCTATTGGCCATAGGGACCGAATCTCGCCGATCATGTGATCGAGGTGATCATCGTATTCTTCGGTTTCGATCACTTCCTTGAGGAGTTGGGCATCATCTAAACTCATGGAATATCTGAACAAGCGGAAGACTACTTCCGATACGTGGTAGTTCTGTCCCTGTTCCTGCATGCCCTTGGCGCACAGAAGGAGTGTGGATCGTAGAGCCTCATATGTTGTCGAACCTTTCTCGGCTAGCGAGATATCTCTCAGGGCGCTGAACCCAAGCAGATGCAGAAACTGCACGAGACTTATATCCAACGCCTCGAACCCGTGGCGCAGATAGTAGACCCGCAAAAGGGTTTCGAAGCAAGCCTTCGACTGGTTGACGATCGTAGTAGGGTCTGCCTCTGCATGTATATAACCCATCTGCATGAATGGCTCGAACAGATTGATCAGAAGAATGTGATAGTAAATGCTGAGCATTGTTAATAACAAGAATAATAAAATTCAACAAAACTGTGTGCCGGGGAGTTGATAAGGTGAAACGTACTGTATTTTGATGTGGGATGGCAGAGCGATGGTATGAGCCTGGAGGACTTCAGGCAAGGCTTCATACCAAGCTAAGAGTCTTGATCTAAAAGCTATAGCAGCACTAAGGGACATCCGGGTGAAAGTCCTCGGGTGGCTGAAGGACAGCTGCGTAATCTCGTTCATGATAACACGAAATTGGGAAATGGCCCAGAACACTAAACCATTAGACATGGGTATTGATTGGCGGCCCAGGGGATATTTCACCCATAATTCCCCATAATGTGCAGACGCACTGTCGACATCAGCGAGGGGTCGAGATGGAGGGTTCTTGACGAGGGGTGGTTGGAACGTATGGAAGGTGGCGAGTCTGGGAGAAGTATAAATATATAAGTATAGTCCTTAACCAAAAAAAAAAAAAAAAAGGTTTAGCAGAAAGCCTACGCTTGAGAGTTGAAAAGGCACCATGCGGTTACTCCAGCCACTAGTTGCCACTCCTTAGTCTCGTCCGGCCCCGGGGAGAACAGAGATAAACTCTCTGCCATCTTTAAAGATTTGTGTGTATAAACCCAACCAATCTGATCGATACCATTTAGATTACACGTCAAGTTGATAATAGCTGCTGCTTGGACGGTGGTGATGGTGGGGTTGTCTTGCTCGAGTTCAAAGAGTCTTTGCGCTTCGGCGAGAAATCGGTATCCCAAGTTATCGGGCAACCAATACTTGGCTCTATTCTTCATTTTGCTATACCCATGCTTCCCTAGGCATCAGTGGAAAATATTCCGTGGATGTGTTGGGTTATGAAAGAATGAAAGATGTGTGAGAGAGAGGGAAAAAAGAAAGAAGAAATAGGTCTTACCGAAGCAGCGGCAAGTAGAGAGTTTACAAGCAGAGGTGAACAGAATCGTCTGTTACACATGAGCATGTCCTCGAGAAACAGGTCTTTGTGGAAGTATGGGTGGAAGGGATAATCAAAGACAAAGTATATCTGCAACAGGACACGCAGCATCAGGTTATCAGAGGACACTTTGGTCCAATAAGATACGTTGATGGATGGTAATCGCGAGTCGACAAGTTCAACTGTATGAAATGGTACGAGATACATCTTTTGCGACTCATCCTCGACGTCTCTCAGGGCCTCTAAATATCCTGGTGATGGGGGCGACGGTGTACCTGTCCTTTCGTAAAGAGTAGACTTCAGGTATAGGTTGTGTTGTTGATGTAAGTGGTCAGGCATCTGTCGGATGTATGGAAACTCATACCGAAACCGAAGCTCTGGTTTGGAAGAAAGTTGGAGTAGGAGGTCGCCATCTTGAACCGCCTTGACAATGGTCTGCGCATCTTCACCTGTCCGGAGTCGTTGGAGAACTTGAGCGGTTTCTTCGTCAGGTCGAGATCGCATAATGCCAAACAAGTCTTCGTAGGCTTGGCATCTTATCTCGAGATCGGTCAGCTTGCGTTTCTGTGCTTTAAGATGAGTTTCTGTCGGGAGGGTCGTGTATTCGCAAATCGTTTGTCGTTCAATGCAGACATGGCATTTTGGCCGCTCAGCAGAGCACTGAGTCCTTATTAGCTCAACGCGAAAGGTATCGAAAGGACTGGGACTGGGACTGGGCTGGACTGGACTGGACGAACCTTGCTCTTTCTTTTTCGACAAGCCTCACAAGCTGCCGCTGTTGCTACTCGTTTCGACCTATGCTGGGCTAGTAAGAAGGTCTCGGCGTGAGGAGGGTTGGGGGAATTGGGCAACAGTGGTCTCAATGGGTTCGGCATGCAGAATACGTAAGTTTGAAGCCCCTTTATTTAATACTGGTTGATATTACTGATGATGATATGGAGTAGGAGATCTTTATGAGTATATTAATACTATAGAACGGCGTCTTATAGAACGAGAAGGATAGGTTTACCATTCTATGTCCTTTAACACGGAAGCGTCGTGGTATTGTATTGCTCATGGGTATTCCAATCTAGTGTAACTGAACTAGCATAGGGTACATTCAACAGTCAGGGGGCAAATGCTTGAGGCTAGGCGGTCCTAAATGTGGCGCTTGCATGTACTGTACGGAGGGAACGCAACGGTTCAGACCCACCCAACGATTTGGCTAGCTATTGCTATTAAGGAAATCACGAAAGTCCACCTTTAAATGTTGGCTGATGACAACCTGTGGCCTCACTCTATTCTTGGTGAGACCTAGTATTGTTGTGGAGTAGAGAGGTCACATATAACATCCTCGATTCTGCAGAACCCGTGAGAGATTTCGTCAAGAGCTAGAGTGGCTGGAGAACGATTTCCATAGGATAACGGTTAGTCAAGCCTTGGTAACTCTGTACAGTTATATATAATGAGATAGCTCTGTAAAGGTATATAACCTGTTGTAGATCATCTTACCTGGGCAAAGTAACGAACCACCACCACCTACAAACTATCAAGAAACACGAAGACTAGACAATACCTTCCATAGATGGACCATTCCATCGATTAGGTTCCTAGACATAAACATGTTATCAATTAGGTTTCTTTCCTCGTCGCATATGTTATATTTCATGTAGAAACGCTTACTAGACCCAGTGTAGAAGAATTCCGCAAGAACGAATATGTATTCTGTAGATTGTCTTTGACAAATTCAAATAGAAAATGTTGATACTGAACAATTAAATTAAAGTATTTCTTCAATGTCCGAGGAGATGAAGTGGCTCCTCGATCACCTACATAAACTTCGTCCCCTATTGACTGACACCTTGTAATTCGTGGACATTGGGGGTTTGCGTTGTTTAGGGTTGCTTCACACATACGCTCTGAGTACTACAGCGGAATTATTATTATGGAAGAAAAGGTAGAGATTTGATGTTTGGGAATTTAACTATTGAAAAATTATAAGTGGTTTGGTTGAGAACCTGGCATTTTAGATTAGATACCAATGGAAACTGTATGTAGCAATGAGGATATACACTTACACATTTTAGGGGCTATACCAACAGCAGATGATAGAACTGGGAGAACTGGGAGAACTGGGAGAACTGGGGTGAGGGGGGCGAGTAGATTCGCTTACTTCTGAGAAAACTTGATTCCTTTTTCGCCTCTTTCCTCTTTCACCTTCGTTCATCTGCCGCAACCGACCTGGATAATGGAACCCTGTACCAACCTGGAGGTCATTGAACAAGCTTAGGAAGCATACAAACGATGAACCACGAGGCCAAGGTATACAAATTGCAGATCCACAATGCTAATATTCCTCAATTTTCACTGGGACCCCTTGCGGCCGCCGTAGTTGGCTTTTTTTTTTAATCACCAATGGCCGCATTCAAAGCGGGCAGGTGAAAAAGGCTACGCGGCTAGCATACAAAAGCCCATCAATATCCTCCTTAACTTTCAGCCTACTCAGATACTACTACGATTTGTATTTCCTGTAACTCGAATGCATACCGTTACGAAGTGGGAAAAAAGAGAGAACGGAAAAGAAAACCTCGAAACGAACGATCGAGATTCCATCCATTAAATAAATCGAAGTTGGCCAATCGAGATCTGCCACCCCATCCATATACCATCCGAGCCTAGGAAATTTGCCTAGCAGTCTCGACTATGTACTTTTGTATAACTGAGCAATCGCACATGCCATGCCTCAGGATTTCATTCTTATGATCTAGGACTTCTATCCGCAACGAATCAACCATACACTTCAGCGCATCTCGCTTGACTTTCAATGACTTCTCCACCGCCTGAAGTTTCGCCGTCTCTCTCTTCTTCTTGGTCCGGCACTTGCTAGCTGCGATACGGTTCTTTTGAAGATGGTTCGGTTTTTGATACCCGCTGCACCCGAAAGTCTGGCTCTCCCCCGTGGAACTTGATAAAGATGAAGAGGAATGGCTGGATGAGCCTCCTTTATTATTTGGCCGGTGCCGTCCTTGTGTTGATTGCAAATCCCCTTCGTCATCGTCAGCGTCAGCGTCAGCATCAAAAATTTCTTTTTCAGCGGTAGGACATGATGATGTTGCCTGCTCCCAATTGAACTGTTCAGGCATCACGCATTCAGCTGATGGGCGAGATTGCGAATTCTGTGTTGATGAATTTTTAGAATCTTCAGATTCATGGTTCGAGATTTCTAAGGGGATGGATGGTGTTTCTGTATAGATTCCATCATTACCGCCCTCGTGCTTTGTTGAAGTATTCGGAGAACATCTGTATTGACCAAACTGTTCTTTGTATGCCGTGGCAGATTCTGGCACGAAAGATTCTGGCTCACTATGCTGAGGACTAATCAATAATTCAAGGTCCCATGCGTTGAATGACATGTCTGACGTTAAAATGGTATTTTCAGGGTTGTTGTAATGATTGTCACTCAGCAAATTGGGTGGATCTATAGTGCAGACCATTCTCTCTTATTTGGCATCTATGAGCCAGTTAATAAGGGGGTAAGGGGGTAAGGGGGTTACTATGAATAATATGACCAGATAGGCGACCATGGATTACTTGAAGGCGGATTTGTGATGGTTGCTGAATGATCCAGGTAGTATCGATGAAGTTTGAGGAACAGATTGAACTCCTACCTAAGTCGAATTATATACGGGGCACAATCGAACCTAGGAACTTGACATCGGAGGATGGTCCGTACGTATGGAGGATGATGGAGCAAACATCAGTTCCTAACTTAGCCACCCAATACCGATATACTCGAGCAATATACCAAATGACATCGACCATTTGGTAAAATGGTGGGCTAAGCTCTGTCTTAAAGGCTCGCAACAGCTGACAATAGCCCGCAACTACGCCATAAGTCGGTTAGTAATCGATTCACGATCAGTGTGTATATGCGGGATAGGATGAACTATGCCTATCAAATGCCATCAAGACCGTTGAGGTAGTACTCTATGTGCCGTGTTTACCTTGCTCGGCCACGAATGAATCATGCAAAGGTAGGTGGCCTGAGCCATATCCCATCACGATAATCTACAAATATTCTGGATGTAGCGATGTAAGTTGTGATAGAGTTGGACTAGGTGTGTCTCCACCCTCGGACTCGATTCCAGCACGATAGATTGGTCCGTAGTATCGGAGAATTTAGAAATAAGAAAATAGCTACACCCCAAGTTCATCCCTGAACATACGATGGATACCATGATTCATACTATGATGTAGACTTGAAGGTCCACTCCAGTGTCCAGTATAAATATAGAGATTCATATAGGTATTTTCGATGAGGGTTAAAGTTCGATTTATACCAGGCTGAAGCCACCAGGTGGTGGCCTATTGGAGATATGATCCCCATTACCTAGGTCAGGCGTTGAAACACCAGAAATAATCAATTGTTTCAATATTTCATTAAGCAATGTTAACAATTTATCTCATTTTATCTAGACTAAACTTACTCGGATGTTTCGATTGATAATATATGAATATGTAGCATTTTCGCTCTTAATTCCAGGCTTCGAATAGTTGCTAAACTGTCCACCCCTCCCTGCCCCCCCAAAACATTCATTTATTAGGGGATGATTGTGGCATTGGCTAGGTTACTTATTTACCTAAGTACTGACTTTCGTGAGTAGACAACTCAAGCAAGTAAAAGAGGGATTTGTGTCACATGTTGTCCCTCAGTGTCAGACGTCAGTTAACTACCCAAGTCTATTCGTTTCCTGATGGCAAAACCAGTCCATTGTTATGTTTGCCTCTCTGAAGCGTGAGAGAGTATTGGCGGCCGTAAATAGGAATCAAGGCCAGAAAATCTCCCCAGTTAAAATCGTTGTTGGTTTCGAGTTGGTTGTGCTGTAATATTTCTCAATCAATCCTCTAACACGAAATGTATAATACTTCAGTTAGGTACACGTTTGAGCGATCGGGATCGGGGTAGGAGGCAGCGGCACGATATAGAAACGAAAAGGTTCAAAAGTTGGGTTGTTTGTGGCTACATAGAATGTAGTAATAGGTATTTATTGTCAGCGTATTTACGTAGACAGCGTAAGCGTCAATTTATAGATCCCGGTCCTTCAAACTGGGAACTCTGGGTTCTTCTTTATTGGCTATTCGGAGCGGGCTCCGAGGATTTTCAATCGTCTTCCCTGCCAATGTTCCACGTTTCGATTTCCCCAGAAAAGACCAAGTCGCCAGCAACTCATCGATTCCATAGTTGAAAGCAACGTATCTGTCTGATTGGCTCGGTTCGCTTAGTTGGTCTTCAATATCCTCTACTCTCTGAAATCTTAGATGACCTAACCGTGTTAGGTAGCAACAACCATCTATGTTGCCTTCTGATACTTGCCGAGTTGTATATTGCATGGAGCCGCGTCCGAGTCTCAAGAAGTTAGCACCAGCACCGGCCCAGCCTAGCACGGCCGGTGGTGGTGAGAGTCTGACCCAGATTTCCTTGCCGGTTCCGGGCCCTCGCAAGAACCTAACGAGAAATGTAAGTCACGTTTCCATGCACCAAGAGGGAATATTCCTTTTGCCCATAACACACCCTATTATAGGCTTGCTCCCCGTGCAAGGGTAAGAAGGCAAAGGTGAGTTAAGTCATTTCGTGCCTAATCGAGCCATCAGTTCTCGGAAGCTTGGCGCTGAAGTTTTTGATAGTGTGATGGGAATCGACCAGCTTGTGGAAGATGTCAAAAAACCGGCGACACGTGCGTATACGAAGTAAACAAACGAGATATCGTCAAACTACAGCTATTGAGCGATTATGATATAGCTAGATTACAGAAATTCGAAGCAGTCTTCGGTATTTTACAACACGGGACCGATCAACAATCTTCCGATGTGATAGCCCAAATCAGATCTGGAGAACCACTCGAATCGCTCGCATCTACTGTGAATTCTTCTTCTGATACTCAGTCTTCCCTTGCATCTTCGTCCGAGCAGCAGCTAGTCGCGATAAGTCTGGGGTCCAGCGTGGCCCGCGGCGATTCTGGAGACTATCCCCCAAAATTTGAGTCCCAAGGCTTCTTAGACCTTCTCTTCGACCGAAATGACTGGCTCCATCCCACCGAAGGCACCGTCGGACATGACCCGCTAATATCTCGGGAAGAGATGCAGGAATTCGTACCTAATCCTATGACACTGCCGACCATCGACACACAATTTGATTCTAACCAATCCCATTTTGTTTCCCAGAAGATCTACGACTTTTCGATTCTCACCGACCAGGCCACAATACCTCAAAAGGTCCCATTCTCAGGGCATCTTAACGGTCACCAATCCCCAAGTGCCAGCAGCGCGGATGGCGATTCAGCGGCCTACCAAGACGGAGAAACATCGTGCAACTAAACTCTTTTGTGCCCTTGTAGAGATAAAAGTAATGGGTTCGACCAATTCGTCTACAATACAATACAAATTGTACGTCTCGATCAATTATATATACTGGAGGTGTTTTAACGTTGTTTACCAGTGTAATCTCAACGAATGAACGAGGATTTCCGAGGATTTCCCACCTCCTGAAGAAAGTTGGAAGGATCCACTACGATCTTGGGCCAAAATAGCGCCTTTAAGGGCTGTCAGAATGGACAGCTGGATTGCTGTAAGCTTTCTCGATAATTTTTCATCATAAATTTCTTGATTTGTAGCATGCAAGTTTATCTCTTGCGCTTTTCTCCTGTTTTTTTTCTCTTCTCTCAAAAAGTTAACACTTGGGCAATTCGGAAGTCTACAAGCGAGATTCGCCTCGAACAGGAATCAACTAACTCGACATAGTGTCTGGGACAGTGTGCGAATGGAGCATTTATACATTTACGGCGACGGCTACCACCCCTAATCTTTTCCTCGTCTCCGCCTACGATCTCTAGGAAGAAATCGGCTATTTGGGGGTAAGAAATTGACGTCGACAAGGTGCTTCGGCGCCCAGGATGGAAGATGGCGGAACAGTCGGTGATCTAAAGATATATCTGACACGACGGTCGCGATGGACATGTGTTGTCGCTATTATGGCTCCTAGAGTGCTGGCTACCTACAAAAAACAAGTGTATGAGGAGCCCCGGGACGTCGCGATTCTATAGATAATCGTGGGCATGGGCTGTGGAAGTCTGTCAAGGAAAGTAATACACCGTACCTGTACACTTTACTTGATCCCCAAAGTAACTAGGTTAGGCTTGAGACTGTCGCGGGGCGAAGCGTAGAAGACGCAGAATAATATCGTTTCTTGCGCGAGGAGTTCTTGAGTAGGTTCTGAGACTCCAGAAGCTACTTGCATATACATACCTCGTGACCCTCTTGTTCCAGCCGGTCCCGGTGAACCCTTGGCAGAGATATAGTTTCCTATATGTATGATTTCTACCGTTGAGTTCATACTCTCGCAGGGGCTCCGCATTGAGTCCGGTCGCCGAAATCGTGTTGGTATGTATGTGAGGTCGTATGCCCACCAGCAGAGAGCTTCGAGTCTTTAGGTTCGGTTATATAATACATAATAGAAGTCAAGCCATTAGTAGGTAGTTTTTGAAAAAGCTCACCCCTCGCCTCCTAATGAGGGTTGATCTTCTAGTCTGTTGAGGCTTTCGATCTACCCGCCACCACTGTTCTAAATCCTCCATCATCCCACGAGCCCACATCGATCGGTCTTAGTCGCCGATGGCTTATGATGGTTAGGTTTCGATATTTCCTCTGTTTGCAAGCAGTCTAGAATGTTCTGCGTTTTATGATATACCAAGTACCTTACCCTAGGTATTTACATCTTGAAGTGAAGTTCAAGTCGTAAATTTGTCCCCAGAGTCTCGTGTAACAGCATCAACTACTGATCTACTCTTTTTTCTAGACCTCTGGGTACTTCTGGACGTAACACGCACGCGAGCCATTTCGTTGTAACATTTGCAACGGCGGTAATCAAAGTAGCCGGGATGCAATACCAGATTTCGGTATGAGAACACGTATTTGTGTACCAGATAGAAAAGAGGGTATACCCGATTGGTGGCTAGGTGAAAAGCAAAAGACGAAAAAGAAATCTGAGGTTGGAGTGGCTTTGTGGGGGTGGAACGTCAGGGAGTTAGGGAGAAAAATACAGAAGAAGATCGATGCAGTAGGCGACCTCCTACCTGTAGTCCTAGGTATCTAGTATGAGGCACGTGACACCCATTAGACAACTCGAATCTCGGAGACTCTCCGTGTCATTTGATTGGTCAAGTGCGCGATTAATCCTCCCGATAAAAAACCGAAGCGAGACTTCTACTAACTATACTACATTTAACAATGCCAAGAGTACCAAGCGGCGAGCGCAAAGCACTAGCGTAATCCTTCTAGATGTCAAAACTCTGACTACTATTGGACAGGTATGGCCAGCAGTTGATGACGTAGTACGCTAATCCTCTTTCCTCCGCAATCATCTATCTTGAACTTCTCGTGATTAGTCAGTTCAATCTTCATACTCATACTCATACTCGTACTTTGTACTTACTTATCTACGTATACCACATGTATAGCAACAGTACCTGACTTGTCTATGTATTCATGATACTATCAAATTGTATATCTACACAGTGATGAGTTCGAGCACAAATTTATTCATAACCCTCATCCGCACCCATCACATAACCAGTCGCAAGAAGCTCGCGCGCGTCAAGAAAGCCGCTGCTCTCAATAGTCTGCACGTGATCGTACGAAGTGGCGGTTCGCCCGGCATCATGTACGCCGAGGGGCCAGCCGAGGCCGTTGTGAATGAGTGGGTCAGCTTCGTCCAGGCTTTACGATATAAAGACTTTCAGTGTGCGCGAAAGCCGTTGGCTCACCCGGTTCGAGCATCTGTGACGTTCAAGCACAGTGGTGGTTTTGAAGAGCTCGCTTCTGTAGCAGAGTTTGGCGAAAGGATGGAGCAACGAGGCCTTGGTGGCTGGTGGAGAATCGGGAGTGAGCATTTGTTTATTTCTTCTTCGAAGCAAACCCTACACACCAGTCCAAGGAAACTCGCCGGCGAGTCTTGGTTTACTAACAGAACATACTCATTTAGTGGGCTACGAGGCATCCGATTGAGGTCTGTCTGGTGACTCTAGAAAACCTGCCCTACTAGGTACCTGTGCAATCCCTTTTCGACCAGAATAAGAGAAATCTAGTTGCTGGAATGGGCTGCTACCTTTCGACTTGTCGAATGGAACACTGCCGGCTTGTCGGACTTGAAGCTCACCGTCGTATCTTACTCTTCTCACGTTGGCCAAGGGAAAATAGATTAACATGCACATCTCGTGCGGTCGGTTACTATGACACTGCCACTCGCTCACCAAATCCCTACTTCTCCAGGGTATCGGATTTGACGACTCATACGTTTGCCTTACTCCCGGTTGATGAAAAGCTAAATATAGGATGGCATCGAATTTTTCGGCTCATGATGTTCGCGCTTCGATTTGCCGTCACATTACCAATGGGACACCTGAACGCAATGCGCGCCATGAGATTGTGGGGAAACCTGGGGATTCATCCGCAACTTTAGAATAATCAGCCGGTCCAATGAAACCTCTTGGATTTATTCATTTGATCTCTTTGCAGATGAAGAATCTGGCCGAATCTACCAAACGGAATATGTCGATCCTTGTCTTATTGATCTGATGTGCTAGTCTTTGCAATCATGACTATAGCAAAAGGGACATGATGGAAGCATAAAAACCGGGCTGCTCCTAACTTGGATCGTCGGTAGACTTACCTTGTCCTGTCCCAAACCTACAACATTGCCCCTGAATTACCCCTGAACAGTATTAGTACTAGGTATATAACCTATCATCGTGAGATTCCACCTCCAAACTTTGGCAACATGAGGACCTTACTTTACGCCACGCTTACTGCTGTTGCCGCCACCAAGGTGGCTGGACATGCCCTTTTCCAGGCCCTCTGGGTTGATGGAGTCGACATGATAAGTCTTGCGATCTTGATGCCAAGCAGCACGGACTAACATTGACAGCACGGCACTCAATGTGTTCGAATGCCATCGTCGAATAGCCCCGTTACTAATGTCAACAGCCCCGACATTCGATGCAATGCAGGCACCAGGGGTATTTCGGGCAAATGTGCAGTGAAGGCTGGCTCCACCGTCACCGTTGAGATGCACCAAGTAAGAGATGTCCATCGGCAGGTGTGAATTGCGTTTTACTGATTGACTGCCAAAGCAACCTGGTGACCGAAAGTGCGGGAGCGAAGCCCTTGGCGGAGCACACTATGGTCCAGTCAATGTGTACCTTAGCCAGGTCTCTGATGCCTCGACGGCTGATGGATCGACTCCATGGTTAGTCATATTCATTCAGATTCATGTTCTTGACTTGAGTATTAATCACGATGGAAATTTAGGTACAAGATCTTCGCCGACTCGTGGTCGGAAAAGGGGTCAGTGGGTGATGCGGACAACTGGGGTACTAACGATCTCAACACTTGCTGCGGCAAGATGGACGTCCCGATCCCCGCAGACACACCTAGTGGTGACTACCTCCTTCGTGCCGAAGTGATCGCTCTCCATACCGCCTCATCGGCTGGAGGTGCCCAGTTCTATATCTCTTGTTACCAGCTTAAGGTCGAGGGCAACTCAGCCAAGGCCGCTGCCCTACCTGCGGGCGTCTCGTTCCCAGGTGCGCTCAAGTCGAGCGACCCAGGAATTCAGATCAACATTCATGCCAAGATCAGCAATTACGTGAACCCGGGACCGGCTGTCGTTGCTAGTGGTACCACGAAAGAAGCGGGATCTGGCTGCGCTGCTGGATGCGCGAAGACGTGCGCTGTGGGCTCCGGCCCCGTCGGGACTGCCATCGGGTCCGCTCCCAAGCCAACCTCCGGAGCTGGGAACTCAGGTGGCTCGTCTGGCTGTGCGCAGGCTAGGTATGAGCAATGTGGTGGGCAAGGTTACACGGGATGCACGGCATGTGCGGATGGCCTTACCTGTCAAGACGTGTCGGCCCCGTATTATTCCCAATGTGCCTAAAGTAAGGGAAAAAGATAGTACTAACACTTCATTCACATTACCTAAGTGGACACCTATGTACCTAGCATTTCCCATCTAGTCCTTATTCAAGGCAATTAGGCGAATCAGGGGGTAGATTTAGCATGGTTTAACGATGGTGTTGGCTGGTTGGTCCGTGCCTCTCTCTCTCCCTGTCTATTTGGCATTTGCGAATCTTTGGTGATCCGAAATCATCCGTACCGTACCCGCCCCGTCGTATCCGTTAATTCATTCATCTATCCATATCCATTTTATTTCTGAAAATACTCACCCAGTGATCAAATATAAATCCTGCTTAATAGCTCTGTGAATTGAACTTCTAAACGCTGGTTTTCTTGTCCACATTCATCCAATAAGCTGTGTAGAAACCAATAAACCTTTATCACCATCTCAACAACAGGGATCAACCCAATTGAAGCATCAAACCTAAATCTCCATCTCCATCTCCATCTCCATCTCCATCTCCATCTCCAACTTCAACCTTGAACCCCTCCATTCTTATCTCAATACTCAATACTCAATCTTAATACCCAATCTCAAACTCAAACTCTAGTTATCTCCATCTCAAAAAAAAAAAAAAAAAAGAAAAGATGTCATCCATCCCGGAACCCCAAAAATCCCGGATCCTAGCGCACATGAACTCCAGCCACACCTCCGACCTAACCCTCTACCTCCGCGCCTTCGCCGGCCTCTCCGCCCCCGAAGCCCGTGATCCCCAACTAACCGATCTATCTCTAACCGCTTTAACCATCATCGCCACCTCCACAACCGCGTCCCCATCAAAAACAAAAACCCACACAATCCCCCTATCCCCACCCCTAACCACCCCATCCGAAGCCCGCCCCCGCCTGATCGCCATGTCCCAGCGCGCCCAAGAGATACTCGGAGAGAGTCCCGGCACCACTAGCAAATCCCTCGACTACACCTTACCGCGCGGCTGGGCCATCGCCTCCGCCGGCGGTATAGTGCTGTACTGCGCCAGCGTCGCCGCTTTGCCCTTCCTGCATCCCGGCACCTTCGCTTGGCGCACCCTCGATGCCGTCGTTCCCGCCGCCGGCTTTGTCTGGCTCGTCCGCACTATTCTGGCCCCCGTCTTCGCCATCCACGTCATCGAGGCGTTCTGGATGGCCCGTTCGCGGTTGGCGAGGCACGGTGTTCCGATTGGGAGTAAGAATTGGCTGCTCTGGACCACTTCCACCTTCATGGAGGGCTATCCGGCTATGATGAGGTTCGATGAGCTAGCAGAGACCGAGAGGAGGAGGAAGGAAAGTGCCAAGCATTGATGGCACGAGGCGCCGTGTTAACATGTAGACGAAATCTAAGAACTTAGCCCACCTAGGCAGTCATTTGTATGCTTTATGTCACAGTCACAGCTAATACGATTAAGATTACGAGCAAGACAACAACTGTTTGGGGAAGTCGACCATGGTTAAATGCATTCACCACCGGCTACTTCCAAGTTTCCAATATCATATCCCATATCCATTCCCAGAACCCATTCTTCTCACTTTCCCCTTCCCTTCATGAGATGAAAATTGCTCATCACCCCACTACAGGAAGAATCCAAAGAATACCTAATATAACCCAAATTTCTCCGTAAAACCCAATCCAATGCATTTGAAAACCTCGTATATCCATGAGAACCATGCCGGTGCTATGCCGATGCCGTGCCCCATGATATCCTGATGCCGATCCTAACCCTGATACTATGCCGATGCGGACCCCGACCCCGATGCTGTGGTGCTGACGACCTGCTTTCCCCGATGCTAAAGCCGTGCCGATGCCGAAGATATGTCCATGCCGAAGATGTGTCAAATCCGAATAGAAGTCGATGCTGAAGATGCGCTGCCGATGCTGGAGTTATGCCGGTGCCAAGGCAAGTGGTGATGTCGAAGAGTTGGTAGCGATGAATTTTCCAGAAACCCCCTTGTGTCACTGCTGTTCAAGATTACGCCAGTGAAACAAAGTTGCAACAGTTCGGGGCCACTTCGAGTGCCTGTGTTGATGGCTTGAACCCGTCCTTGTATAGGCTCCGAACTGCTGCTTCAATTTCGGGCTCTGAAACTTCATCATCGAGTGTACCCTCCATGACACTTACCACCACTAGCTCGACCTCTAGGCCGTTGAGCGAGCCCTCGCGCACGCCGATGCAAGCCTGGTGAAGGCAGCAAAGCAGTCGGAGTATGCAAGACTTGGCGTCCTTGATAGCCTTGCGTACCTCCGATAGCTTTTCGTACGGCTTGCAAAATTGATCAATTGGCTTGATGCGCGGAGGCTGAGGCATGTCTGTGCCGGCATACTCCATGATTTTCGAAGGGCTCAAACCACGTTGGTGTAATCTGAGCACCTCTTGACCTTGTGGCGTATCGACGTGCTCAGGTCCCAGGAGTTTCAAGACAGTGAGAAACTCCCAGGTGACTGAATAGTATTCCCTGAGCTCGGCACGCAGCTGGTCGATCTTCGTTTGGTTAGTACGGTTGTCGACACCATCTCTGTCGCATGCGGTTCCCGTCTTGGCACAGTAAGTGCAAGTGGCTGAGTTGTTGTCGGTGAAACACTTGCGCTTCTGTTGTCGGCACGCTTTGCACGATTTATGTCCGACCTGGCGAGCCCTCTTCCTTGGTCGGTCTTCTTGGCTAGCCTGGACCGACTCACCTGATTCCGGGGTTTGGCTTGAACCAGCTACAACGCTGGCCTTGCGCTTTTGCCCCGCGGTTTGTGGTGATGTTGTCGTTCGCTGAGCCGGCAGTCCCACAGCCTGTTCAAGCAATTGGCTTGACTGATCAGTTGGAGGAGTGATGGGCAACTGATCAGAGGCCTGTGGGACATCTCCGAGTTTGAGGAAGTCGAGGGCCCGCAGGTCGGTGGAGGGGGCGGGCAACGAATCCTGTGGTAGAGTAGGACAGCTGATCCGCGGTTTATACAGATCAAGTGCTTCTTCCCAAGGACCAGATTCGTTGTAGCCCAGTGTCCCGAGGAAAGAGTCCCTAATGACAGGGTTTCGTCCTGGTTGGGGCTGCATCCAGTAGCCGTCCATTTCGCTGATTTGTATCTTGGGTGAAAGACTAGGCTGTTAGTTGTTGATGATACTGAGTTATGCCTTTAGAATAGTAATAAATAGGAAATGATACTTACCAAATCAGTTGCTAATGGGGCTGTATCGTGTGGTGTCTGTCTAGTTTTATTATGTTTAGGTGAGCTACAACTAGTAAGGTGTGTGTGTCAAGTCGTGTGAAAGGTCGAAAATGATATTGTATCTGAAGCAATATATATAAGCAACCAAGAAATGCCAATGAAGAAAGACTGTAGACTTGTCTCTGTGAATGATGGAAAAATGGGTGAGAAAGGAGACCAGAGATAGAGAGGAGAGCATTCTTATATGTTTTTTCTGGAATCGAGCTAAATTGCCAGAATCAGCCAACTGCTCTGAAAGTCCCGAGAAAGAGAAGGCGTAAGATATGTAGAAACTCAAAAACTGATGGCCAAGGACGAGTCACTCGTCAGCAGTGGACATTTCCTTGTGGCTTTACAGTTTGAATCTAATGCAAAGGCCTTCCTAGTAGTTATGGAAAGAGTCGATTCTCAGTCAAGGTATCTTCAGGTAACTACTGTGTATGTATGTATGTAGGTATATGGATCTTGTATATGTAGTGTGAAATTCTATCAAGTAGTCTTTTTCTACCCCCCCTTTCCCCGGCTTGGTTGAAAGCTTATTCTAAGTTATCAAATATATGCTATGCTCCTCCTTTGCCTAGTAGTGCAGTGTTGAGTCTATAATATGTTCTTCCCTGGCCGAATGGTGGCTTTAAGATTTATACTATTCCCCTGTGACAACCTCTTCCACGCAGGATGAAAACTCTTCAAAAAGCGAGGGATAGAAAGTTAGTTGAAAATAATTTGCGACATCTGGTAAGATTTCTCTCACTCTGCTAACTTGAATGACATTTTCTGCATTTCTGGTGGTTTTCTAAGGGAGTATTGGAAACTACCCCTTTTGCTTCAACCTGGGTTGTAGTGGTATGAAGCTACAATTACTCGTTTAGGAACAAACGGTACAAAGGTACACAACTGTCAGAAACTGTCAGATTTAGTTAAAGTCTGGGGAAAGTCAATTATAAGCCAGCCAGTACATCGGGACCTGTCATCACCCATCGGGCTAGCCAATGTTAGACTGAACTTAGTTGAATTTCAGAAAGAATACAACTGAGAACCCAATCCTGGGGCGGCACATGGCAAGACGCCACCGGTGTAGAACCAGAAGCCACGACACCAAACGCGGTCGTGTATGACTTGTACCCAGCTAGTAAGTGACGCGACTAGATAAGGTTCAACTCCATAAGATCCCTGAGAAGTAAACACATAGTTACTCCCCTTTGTCTAATGTAGAATCATAGTGGGAAAGTAAAAGAAGGTATTGACGTGACTCCCTGACTAACTAGGGTATCTACCTAGGTAGTAGATACTGTAGTTATAAGCTTACAGGAAGAACCGAAACTGCTCAAAGCTCGAGCCTCGTTCTTGATAGAAAGGACAGCTAAACCTAATTATAATCTGATGCGGAATTTGCAATGATGAATAACATCAAGTAGCCCCATAGCAATCCTGTGATGCTGACAAGGGGTAATCATGAACTTGAACAGTACGTAGCTTGATCCTACCCAAGAAACTAGGTTACACATTTGATAACTCTAGAAACGAGTGTTGCTCTTCATCTTGACACGTAGCTACCGGCTACTTGTAGAAAGACCAAATGCCATAATTTAGGTTAGCTAGGACAATTCTGCTGTCCTAATTCTACGTATATACTTCTGATAAACGAGATCAGTTTGCCCAAACAGTGGATCACCGTATTATTGTCATTATAAGTTGACATTAACCAAGTAAGCAAACTGGAGAATCATGAATACTTACCAAGTAGAGTAAAGGGAGACCGTACATTATTTGACCAAGGGGTAAAGAGGGAGAGGCAAGTAACCTCCAAGTCAATTACAAGGTTCGGAGTTTATATAAAGATTACCCCTGAGTACCGTTAACTCCAGGAAGACCTTTGACAGTTAACGCACTACAGGCCAACATTTGGATGGATTGAAAGCAATAGCCATCTAACCTAACCCATCAAAAAGACACTAGGAGCTCTAGATAGTTGTTGAACCTCGTGGTCATGCAGCCAGACACCCGATGATAGTGATGGGGTGTAGGATCACTTACACACGATATTCTGTTGAGTCACATAATCTTGGGGCCAGTGAAGAAATTAATAGACCTAGATATGAGGTCAGAGTATCAAGACCTGCAGGCTGGCGGTGGGATTTTCCCAAGCTGTTCTTTTTCTTTATCATATCATTGCCCTCTCATTTAACCTAGCAAACATACCAACCGTCTAATGTAGTGCTTACTTAAACTCAACAGAAGTAAAGATATATCTAGATCAGCCATCACTACTCGGCGAGGAACGATTAGATATGTATACACCCTTGTCTCTCTAACCTAGGCACTTCTGAAGCTACTGTACCACTACTATCATAGTACTATCATAGTACTATGCACTACTAATGTACTAAGCAGGGCCTGGACAAATCAGAAGAAGACAGACATCCCAATGCGGTATATAATCCTATGAGGTCACCATCCCATAGAATTCAAATTTCAGAGGCTTGGGTATTTTCCCCGGTTCCACGTTGGCTGACCCAGCCCACCCCCTATTCGGATACGTGCCCGCCTCCGGTACAGAGCCCTTGGGATTGACTATATTGTGCAAATATTCGGAGGTTCTCAGCCTGTCTAATAAATTCACATAAATCTTCATTCTTACTGATGTGAATTGTTTTTGTACATAAAAGAGGTTGCTTCAATTTCATCATGATTCTGTGACTTCTCTAAGCTAAGATTATCCACCGTTGCATACTGTACCGCCTCCACAAGTGAGACTACTGCGGACCAAGTAATATCTCGTGTAATGTTGATTATGACCCTTTGACATATAGGTATAGATCTTCGTAGGTTCGCTCAATTAAGCAGACCGCCACTGGTTGTCGCTCTCACCAAGACCAGATGGCGCAATGCGTGGCCCGTCTTCCAGGGACCCATATTGACCCTGATTGTTCCTAGAGCCACTGTTGTTTTCGGCCTCATCAGCACTATCATCGTCATCCACCATTCCAGGCTCTATTAACCCTGAACGTTGACTGGGACCAACGTTTTGGGGGATGCGGGCGTAACCAGTGCTGGCGCTACGGCTGAAGTTACGGCTGGAATTATTATCCAGCCTGAAGAGCGCAAGGGAGACGAGCTTATGATAAGATTAGTAAAGTGAGTCTCTTGTATAGTAGCTAAAAGTACTCACCTGCAAAACACCAACGGCAACCACTATTGCGAACTCGAAGCCTGCGCTTCGCTGCATGGTTGCACGCCATGGACCAAGACACGAGGTGTGCCTGTCTTTGTATAGAGCCTTGCACCCAGCGGGTGGCCAGTCGCGGTCAACAGTGCTGCGCAGTCCACAACAACCAAGGGTCTCTTGGATACGTTCGATGGCATGTCCATCACGATTATGCCAAAGTCCCTGCCATCTGCCTTCCAGGCCACAATCGAGCAGTTGACCCGGTACGAAACCTTGGGCTGCAAGGGTTGCTAGAACGGCCGTCAATACCCCTTGGAAAATCTGTAGGGCGAAAGGGACGAATTGTAGTATCGGAGATGCCCTGATACCATATCCCAGCAAGGAACGAAGCTGAGGTGTGATGAAGAAGTTTATCGCTGCGAGGAAGGGTAATACGATGGTGAGGGCTGTCGTTCCGGTTGACAAAGGGAGCGATAACGTGCTCGAGGTTACCTGCACGTAACTACAAAAAGCAATATTAGAAAAGGTGGTTAGAATATTGGACAAGTAATGGATAATGATCTTACATGGCAACCGCTGCCACAACGACAAGCAGCTATTTAGTGGTTTGTTAGCTCATATATGTCCAGGTAAAAAGAAGAACGAAGGAGGGAGCTATTTAATACTTACAAGGGAATAACTGGAACCAAATTTCCAGCTTACCATGATGAATGGACAGTGAACTAACCCTAGGTTAGTTAATTGAAAGGAATTTTTCTAATTTATTTTCATATATTGGTAGTGATAAGAAGTGATGGGAATTGACGGTTACCTACCTACCTAAGGTCGCCAAGGTTAGTAGTGAATATGGGAAAGTGAGGGAAGCGGGCAAAACTGTACTAGGTAATAAACTTTGTTCCCAGGTGAGACAATGGTCCTACTGTACAATACTTGTACATATGTATTGTGCAACAGCCACAGAGATGACAGCCACATCATAACTATGTGTGTTAGTTATTGTGTGATCTATCATTTTATGCAATACACTCGATATTACATAATAACTTTATTTAGTTGTTGCTTACCTAACTAAGTACGTAGCTACTACTACGGCGTACAATAGCGAATGACTTGACTATCTCATCCAGATCTTCTTCTTCAACGCATGTGCTCCTCCTTCTCCCCTACTACATATGTAGTCCCTACTACACATGTAGTAACTAGTACTAAACCCCATGATGCCAAGAGCGAATCCCCGGAGCAGATCATGGCATTCTCCAACAACTTTGCTACTAATAGTAGTTACATAGTTGCTCTTTAGTTGCTGATCTTGATATCTCCCGGATTATGGCAAATGCCAATCAATCTCATCTTGGCAATTGCTTAACCTTCCTATCTGGCGCATGCCCAGAGTCCAATTCCGCCGTTTAGGCCCGAACTATCCACCTTTTGATCTCGTCTTCAGTCCTTCACTTTTATTACTTAACGGCTTGGCTCTCACGACATTCTTCGGGAACCGGTTGCGTTTGAGGAAGCTCGAAGCTTATACGGCAGGAACCTTTTCATAGCTAACTACTATCTATAGCCCACCAAGACTCTACACCACGCGACTCATCGTGTCTAGACTTGTTCGAGTAACTATTTCCATGCCAAATATGGAAAGGATATAATACCCTATACTATGCTCATGCTGCTCATGCTACTACTACCTTGAGGAAGCTATACACTCAGGGTCCCCATGTGCCCTCCATCCAATCGTCTGTCCATCACCCATGATGCGACTCTGGGATATGACGATCCGCCCCTATCGGGTCATTGCAACGGCAACATCCATCTTGGCTATGGATGATAGATAAAGTAGAAGGCGGGGCTCCTGTGAATATATCCAACCTTATTCCTTGATCGCCTGCCTACTTCTGCACTGCTGTTGCGCGCTGAGACCATCGTACTTGTCGCAGTCGCTAGATCGCCTTGAGTTGAACACGAGGAAACAAGTCACCTTCCCATACGAGAAGCTAGGTAAACCTCCTTGTCTCGTGCTCATAGTCACTATATAAAGCATTGTACATGCATCTGAATATATAAGCTCGTCCTATCCAGGTATTCGCTGCTTCTGATTAGCCATACTACTTTTTTGATTGGATATCTTAGTTGTTTTGGAGCCGAACTTCCAAACCTTTGCCAGCAAGCCATCTTGCCCCGTATCATCTCTATTTCAAATATGGTTCGTCCCATGTTTATCGCGGCCCTGGCCGCTACAACGGCTGCCCTCTCAATTGGGCGTCGTGAAGCTCCTGCAGAGGAGCTGTTCACGCTTGAATTCGCACCTGGCGAGACGCAAGTTGTTACCGAAGAAGAGAAGTGGGCTCTCAAGAATGTTGGTAGCCATTTATCCTTCATAGCCTTATTGATGAGTACTGACTACCTGGTATAGGAGGGAAAATCCTTCATCGATATCACCAATCACCCTAGGTTTTCTGCTTCTTCTGCCCAAAAGTTCGCCAAGGTCGCAGCCGTAGCGTACCCGTCCTCAATGACACAGACACAGCCCGTCAACACACTCATCGCGCAGCTCAACAAGGCCAACCTAGAGAACAAATTGACGACTTTCTCCGGGTTCTATAACCGCTACTACCAGTCATCCTACGGCAAGGAGTCCTCTGAGTGGCTCTTGGCCCAGGTTAAGAGCGTCATTGACGATAGCATAGCGGTGAATGCGTCAGCCGCAGCTTTCACGCATTCATGGACGCAGAGCAGCATCATAGCCACGATTCCCGGGAAATCTACCAACAAGATTGTAGTTGGTGCGCATCTTGATTCTGTTAACGGTCGTAACCGACAGGGACGCGCCCCTGGTGCTGGTGAGTTGCTTGCTGTTCTTTAGCGAAACCTGGAAACGGTCTAACAAACGCTTCTTAGACGACGATGGATCCGGCTCTGTGACTATTCTAGAGGCTATGCGAGTTCTCCTGAGCGACCCGAAGATTGCAGCCGGCGAGGGTGCCAACACGCTAGAGTTCCACTGGTACTCCGGTGAAGAAGCGGGTTTACTCGGCAGCCAAGATATCTTTGAGAAGTACGCTGCCGACGGGGAGGTAGTCAAGGCCATGCTACAGCAGGACATGACTGGCTATGGAGATCAGCCGAGTGAGTATCAAATTTCGTCTCTCCCTCCTTTCACCATGTCCTTGAGCACTCATTGCCTCTACCAATGATGCCCAGCAGCTACGAGCTAGAAATCAAATCTTTTCACAACCAATTACTAACTCCTGACCACAGTGGGCGTTATCACCGACCGCGTAGATGCCCCCCTCACAGACTTCGTTAAGAAGGTCATAGACGAGGTTAGCTTAACCCCACTCCATCCCTACCCCTTTACCTAAACTAACCGACGCAACAGTACGCCACCATCGGCTACGTAGAAACGCAATGCGGCTACGGGTGCTCCGACCACTCCTCCGCCACTGCCGCCGGCTACCCCTCGTCCTTCGTCATCGAGGCCGACATGGACCTCACGAGCCCCTACATCCACACCGACGGCGACACCCTCGACCGCGTCAGCTTCGATCACATGATCGAGCACGCCAAGCTCGTCGTCGGCTACGCTTACGAGCTTACCTTTGCGTCGTTGTAGATGTATTATATACACCTATGTACCTAGGTAGCGTGGGGTGGAGATGGAGGCAGATTTATATTTTAGTTGGTAGGGTTAATAAATAATAGATACTGTATATGCCTTTAGATATATGGATATATGTAAATATGTGAACCTAGGCACTGCCTCTATCTATATCATCGTGCGCTCCGAAAAGAAATAGGGGGAGTCCCATGTACCTACCTACCTACTTAGTAGCGATCACTCAATCAGCCAGCCAACCAAATCACCCAAACGTTGACATAATCTACCCCCTTTTTATCGCCTATTTACCTCCTACCTACCTCTGCAGCGTATTCACACAAATACATACCTACCGTAGATTACCCCCAAAAGCCATCGCCAAGCTTACCCACTGCCACACCACATCTATTGGTAGCTAATCCATCATACCAACTACATAGAATAACGTACTGCATGTAGCTAGGTACGCACGTCGTTATGCATAGGAATAATACGATAGATATAAGGACCTGCGTCACTTTATCCCTACATAGGCACTAGACAGGATCATATCAAACTCCTAGTATGGCAAGGTCGCGGAAATGACTTAACCGTACGTAGTCTGAAGAGTTATTGTGTCCCTAGATAGACAGTAGAGTATAGGTATACACCAGATAGACTAGAATTAAACGCCGACGTATACGAATCGCATATTTACGGTCACCATGAATTAAGAAGGGTCCCGTAATGAATTATCCATTTTGTACACTAGGCGTAAAAGCCATCCACCGGATGGGTATCATTCCGCAAGCAAAGCTCAAAAACCTATCGTGACAATCATCGGTGCTCAATCGAAAAGTATGTGCAACGTGGAAGTGAAAGCAGCCGATGCAGCATCATCCCCAATACCTTACGCGACTCTCCAAACCAATCCCCCCTTCGACAATCGCGAAACCCATATTAAAGCGTATCATTTCTGTGAAAAGATACCCCATTTGAAATCTCAAGGAGAAATCAGGTAACCCATACCGAAGAACTGAAAATAGTAAGTAGATAACCCACCAGTCTGGCCATGAGGAAATTGTCGCAGGCACCGCCGTCATGAAACCCAACACCAAGGAGGAAACTTTAGACAGCAAGTAACATGGTTAGATAGGTAGATGAGGTCATAACCTTGGAGTGCAAATTACTGCGACGTACCAATCGAAGATGAATTAAGAGACCTTTCGTTGGCGAGGAGCCACCCTATTCATCAGTCTGATACTGTACAATACAGTCGAATAGTTGAGTCTCAGTCTCAGATTCTTTGATTAATAGCCGATTGAGTTGGAAATGCGGACACCGTCTCGGATTTGATTTGCTAAAGTACTCATCGAAGAGAGACGTGATAGCAAGGGGTCGGAGGGGGCTCGGCTAGCGATTTGCGTGTACAATTGCTCGAAGCGTTCGACATAGGAACGCATGAGGTTAGGAACCACAGCGCGAACCTGAGGATCCTGTATGTCCTTCTGGTTAGAAAAGTTATCAGATGATGAGATTGCTGTACTTACAATTTGTGGTAAAGCGTTGTGCAGTATGTGAAGGACCGTCTCGACCCAGTCTAGCTTCTCTCTAAGAAAAGGGCCTTGGAACTGTTCGGCAATAACGGACGCTACGGAGAGCGAAACTAGAGATGGCAAGCGGTGGAGGAACCGAGGGTTCAGCTTGGCAAGGTATTCATTGAAAACCTCAGGCTCGCGACCATCTTGAATCCATCGAATTAAGCCGGCTTCGAACTCGCCCCTCTCGATGGCGGATGCGACAGCGGCAATCATATGTTGAACCTCGGCGGTCCGAGCGTGTGAAGCCTCTCTCATGCCCGAGGAGTCTCGTGTGTTCGAGTTAGCCTGCGGAGCTGGGACCATCTGAAGGGAGCCCGCCTGAGGACTATCGAACGAATACGGTTGTGATTGTAGGGATGGGGCACGGTGCGACTGTGCTGGTTGAGGCTGCGCGGCAGGGGCGCGGTCACGAGGAGACTGTTGCTGTGCTTGTTGCATCTTATGCAACGCATCCTGGATTTGCGCCTGCGTGTTCGACATGGCGGTTATTGATTCAGAAAGACGAGTCACCAGTAAAGTGAGTTGGTCAATCTTATTGCTATCGGCAAGGTGTTGCTGCTCTAGCTCAGCAAGCTGCTCGGCATGTCTATCCTGTATTTCCTCCACAATTGAGCGAGAGGCCGTAACAGCTGTGTCGTTAATGATAGGGGAAAGGGTGGCTACAAGGGATTGCTGGAGGCTCTTCTCCAGATCCAAAGCAACAGTGTTCGCGACCTTGTCAGATATGGCCTTCGTTAACTCGGGCTTCTGAAGGGCTTGGTTGACCGCATTTGGAATGAGCTTCTGCATCTGATTCTGAATGGCATGCGAAACTCGACCGATCATCTTACCATCGATCTGCTCCGATATGGTTTTAGTAATCAGACTGCTCAATACCGGAACAACGTTCATTTCAAACTGGTCGCTAATGGTTCTAGTAAGAACAGCTTGCACATTTTCGTCTAGGACATCGGATACTTTATCAAGCAAAATTTGTTGACTCTTGAAAAACTTATCATCGCGAAGGCGGAATTCTGTGTCAACAATGCCACGATGGTCCTTGAATTCGCCGGTAAGAACCCCACTCAGCTTTTCGCCGAGGCTAGATACGATTTGTTTGACGGTGGATTGAATAGACTCCTGCGACATCACCGGCTGGAGTGATGGTGCAGATGACTTAGTCTCGGCATGCTTTGTGTCGATGCGCGGAGAGTGAGAGCTACCATTAGACTGCGTGTTTTCTACAGCCAGTTTCTCAGCGGCAGCAGTTTTCTCTCGCTTTCGCCTAGTTTTCTTTTCCGATTTGTCCATCGGAGTAACGGGCGCAGCTTCCTTCCGCTCAGGCTGTCCAGCAGGAGTTGTGTTGTCACCACCCTTCCGAGTTGGTTCCTGGACAGAGGGTGCAGAAGAAACCTGGGGTGGAGGCGTTTCCTTGACGGAGCGGAGCCGAACTGGTAGACTGAGATCGTCTGCGGCCTGCGGCTCCGAGACTAGCGCACTAGGCAATTCCTTGAGCTTTGAGATCTTGACTAGGCCTGCTTCGGCTGCATCAACGCCGTTCAGAACCTTGTTTTCCTTAGACCAGCCAAGCTCGCTTTGCTTCACAACGATTCCGGTCACACCCTTAGAGTGCATCGCATATAGCTCGAAGAGAGCTTGTTCGTCCGTGTCGGAATTAGCAGCAGGGTTTCCCAATATGTCAACACTTCGAAGCACGCCTTTGTTAGCAAATGAATACTCGCGCACACCACTAATGACCGCGGTCGAGTCGGGTTCCTGAATGGAGGAGTCCTTCACCACCAGTTTCTGGATATAATCGACTTGAGACAGACCCTTAATCGTGTACTTTGGCGCCGACAGGTGAAGGAAGTAAATGGAGTTGCGGGTGGGATGGCCGACTATGATCATGCCTGAAGGTGGATGATACATAACGCTGCATACTGGATCCGACTCCTTAGCATGGGGCAAGTTGAACTCCTGCACCGGTTTGCCCAGAGCAAGATCCCACAGCTGAAGAGTGTGATTCTGCTTCATGCCTACAATCATGTAGCGTAAAGCCAACCCCTTCTGGTATGGCCGTTGCTTATCCAGCAATAACACAGAGGTTGGCCATGCTTTCTCGCCTTCTGGTGTGGTGTTCAGTGTCATCAGTGGGTCCTTAACCTCAAGCGAAGTGTAGGCGGGAATGGGAGACCGAGAGTCGGAATTCTCGTCAACGGCTGTAAGATCTCGCACATCCCAGAACTTCACACGACCAGACTTGTCGAGAGACACAATGGTAGTGTCATCTTGACTGAAGGTAAAATCTTTACCGGCCTTACCCGTGCTGATCCTGAGAGAGCATTCCTTATAAAGTCTCTCAGTGTCAACAACGCGATCGTGACCAGGTTTAAACATGTTGTTCTGCATGACGTAGGACGGCCAGATGATGTTAATTGTCTTTCCACGTCCAACGGCGAAGAAGTCTGGATGGGCTGACGAGGTCCTAGCTCGAGTTTTCAAGACGCCGCCGTTATCGCCGCCTCCTTCGTGGGAAATCGTTACCGGCGGAAGAGCGAATCCGTACTGTTCCGGGTGAGCATCATCCAGATGGTCCTTATCCCCATTTCTTAACTGGACGTAGTAAACAGTGCCACTGATACCAGTGCCGATGATGGATTCTTTGGGCGTCATGTTCAGATCAGGCGAAGTCGACGATATGGCTACATTAAAGATGCGATCTCTGGTGTCAGTGAATAGTTTCGCGTCCTTACCGTCGTCCTGCCGAATCACACGGAGTCCACCAGCCTTAGACATGCCATAAACCATGTACGACTCAGAAGCTGCGATAAGATTGCGGTCAATTTGATCAAACTCCTTTTTGAGGCGAGCAATGTCGAGAATCGCCTCGTCACGGAACAGGGGACGAGAGTCCTCTGTCTCCTGCATCGTAATGGAGATCCATGGCTTCATGGGAAAATTGTACACCTTCACGGGACTTGACGATTCTTCAATCACGATGATTTCGTCAGCCTCGGCGCTCTCCCAGCTGTCTGCAACTGGGCCGTGGGCAGCGTCATCAACAATGTCGCGGATGGCTTGCGCGACTACGGGTGGGTACGTGTCCTCGAGGACGTGAGCGTTCTCCTTCTTATCAAGCTCCTTCTTTATGTCCTTCGCCACTATTTCGGCCGAATCCTGGAATTCAGCGTCAGTTTCGGCCCTCATCATGAGATCAAGTTCAGCACTAATCCTGGCTCGTACCTCTTCTTTCTCAGCTCTCTGTATTGCTTCCTGGGCTTCCTTGTCAGCCTGTTCGGCTAGTCCGGTAATCGCCTCCGAGACTGTCTCAGTAGTCTTCTCCTTGCCAGGCTCGAAACCAGTGGTCGTTGGAGGGACATTTTCTTTCTCAGCAAAAGAATGAGGGGAATCGTCAATCTTTCGTCTGAAATGCTCAGGACTTGCTCCTGGGCTTCGCTGGCTACTAAGTCGTTTATGATCCTGAAGGAACCCGGGCGAAGAGGCCGCACTAGGACTCTTCTTGGGCACTTTAAAGGATGTGGCTGCGGGAAGTTCAGTCGGCATTTGTCCGATGGGACCTGAAGCCCCTGGCGTTGAATTCTTCGATGTAGCATGATGGGGAGAACCCGTACCAAAGTCGTCGATAGGGTTGGTATAATCAAATTTAGCAGATCTAAGGCTGCCGTGACGAGATGCCTGAGAAGTAGGAGAATGATACTCGAACTTTGCCGAGGGTGAATCACCACGGTCCTTTGCTCCAAATCTGAAAGGCATGGGAGTTGCTTCGTTTGAAGCACTCTCGGGATATCCCTTGTGACGAATGTATTCCCGCGCATGATCCACCAAGGTATCGTTTGCTGACTGAGGTGTCAACGTCGGAGGCTTAGACTCGCCATTCGCTGAAGCCGGTTGGTCGTTCTGCGCAGGCTTCGGTCGGTGTAATAAATTGAGCAGATATGCCTGGGTGTCGGCCGGGGGCGGACCCTCATTCCACGTTGGCTGAGCGGCCGAGGCTTGAGGCTCAGCTCGAGAAGACTCATTCTGCATGTTTCCCTTCATAAGAGTAGCTAGTAGGCCTTGAGGATCAGCAGGCATAGGTACGGGGGCGTGGATAGGTGGCGGATTGTTGGGATGAGATAGGTTGGATGGCGCATCGAAGGAAGACACTTCGGCATCATGGCCCAGCGGTGAGGGGTGAGACGGTGCTTGAGTATTCTGTCCACTGAACTTGAGAAGATTGAGAAGATTGGTACTCTGATCACCTTTGTGGGAAGTATTGGTATTGGAGGGCATGCTACCAATGGGGCCCAGTCCCACTGGGCCAGTAGGATGGTGCGAGTGACTAAAATTGTTGCTCGGTGGTGTTGGAGCAGGTGGTGGAAATTCGTCCAAACCAGTCAAAGGGGATTGAACGGCGGAGCGGCCGTAGAAATCTTGTGCATTCAATGTACCCTGGTTGCTGTAAGACGCGAATCGAGACAGAAGGTCGTGGCTAATGCCAGAATCATCAACGTTTTGCGCATTGCGTTGAGCTTGCATGCGGGCAAGCATTACATGCAAGCTATTGGGGTCGCTGCCACCCGGCGGGTTATAACCCGCCATGATGAGATAGGACGAAAGATAAGGATCGCAATCTGGTTTAGTATAACAAACCAATATTAGACAGTGCTAGGCAATTGAAAGAGTGCGGTTGACAAGAGACTATTCCCAAGGTGGGTTGAGAAAATGAAGAAGACGGCAGCCGGCACAGGTGGGTGGGTTTAGTGAGGAAGTAGAAGGAAAGTAAAAAATAAAATAAAAAACAAAATCACTGTTTTTCTTCCAATACAAGACGTGTGAACTTTTTTACCAGCCTCGCCGAAAAAAAATAAAAAAATAAAAAGAACATACGCTACCAAAGCTAAGCTCCCCGGCAACCCGGTGACAGAACGATGGCAATCAATGTGAGACAAGGTAATTGGGTCAAGATAAAAAAACTTGACCCAGCTATGTCAAAGTAAATAACGAATTCAGAAGAAGTAAGTAGTGGTGGTATTATTATTGTTATTGTTGTTGTCCAAAGACAGAAGACGATGTTTTATTTTTTGTGGGCGAGGAAGAAGTAAGAAGTGAGAATGCGGTTGATGGAAAGGTAATTGAATAATTCATGTACTATGTAGTTAATATGTGACGGGTTGAATGGGCTGTTGTTGGGCGGCGATGCAGCTTCCTCAGCACTAGTGGCCTATCTATGGCCAGCTACTAGGTATACTTGCACAGTACTTATATTTAGTATCTGATAAAAGCTTAAAACACATCAAGCTTGGTAGCCTACAAGTACCAACTCGTTTGTAACCTTAGGCAGTTACCCAGACGATAGGGAGCTACTAGGATCTAGATTCGGCGGAGGGAAAGCGCCTACCTTGCACTTTGGAGATGTAGTACCACTCAAGTGCATCCAATGCATAGTACTAGGTACTATGTATTGTACCTAATGCATGTATGTACAATACGTAAGTACCCCAAGTGACCTTCATTAGTGCAGTTGTTCATTGTTCAGTGAACTAAATTCAATAAGGGAGATCCTGTAACTTGGTGGTCCCCTCTTTATACCTAGTATTATGTAATATTGGTCACTCAACAGTAAGTAGTACATCGTTGACGATCCATTCGGCATTCGTCATTTTCTAAAACGTCCAAATACATTGATGACCCCAATCATTACAGATCAGCATACAACTTTTTTTTTTTTTTTTTTTTTTAGTATTTTCACTTTAACTAACTCCCTACTGAGTACTCTCGTTGTTACATACATAACCTTGAAGCACATGCTTAGTTGTATACCTTCAGAGTCATTGTTCGACCTTGGTGGCGAGGACTTTAATCCAACCAATTAACAAAAGATTCACACACCTCCAGCATATTGATACAACATTGAACATACACCATACATTCATGCCTGCATAGGTTACATATGTAGATTTCGCCAGCGCCGGCTTCGTACATACATACACCTATACATCAAATACATATTCCTAAAGCCTGCGAAACGATCCAGCATTCAGTCTGCGCTAATAAATATTGTTTGCCCACGCACGTCTGGTGAAGAAGTCGCCTTAATCAAACGGTCTTACTTCATAACTACAAGCAAACGCTTCCCGAAATCAAACGTCATGTTTTGTCTCCGAAGGTATGGCGTCCCGTCCACATCTATGAAATATTTCATCCCCCTCTCCTCTCACCTTAATTACTATTACCTGGATGGCATACGTCACTTCGGCTAGCTAACACATTGTGTCTCGGTTCTATAATAGCTGGCTCCCCCTTCTCTTCATCCCGACAAATGCCTCCCCGGCGTTCATCTTCCTCTTCTTCGTCTGCACATACTTCCTCAACCGGCCGTGTGTGTACTGCTCCGTGCTCCTGCTCATCCTCTTCGTGACGTCCTGCCACTGGTCCGACCGCTGCTTCTTCGACTTCAGTAGCAACTGGTTTGCGCCGCGGCCCTCCACCACCTCATCATCAACATGTCCCAACAACGGAACCGCCGCGATAACGGACCCATACGGTGTCGATAGCTTCAACGCGACCGCCGTCGAGATGCTCAACACCACAGCCAGCGCCCTGGCCAGTGTCGCGGCGGAGGAATTGGCCAAGCGCAAGGAGGAATGGACAGGCCTGGGAATCGAGTGGTTGCGAAGCCTGCTGGGACGCAGGGAGTGGAGGATCGAGTGCATGGATTTATACATTCGCCTATAATTGGCCTTGTGCATTATACCACTACTCAATTGGAGGAAATACCGCGAGATTGTGAACTTCACTTCATACCCCCATACCCCCCCTTTTCGAGGCTGTACAAACGATACACCCACACCCACACATACCCACATTACAGACGAGAGAATATAGATATTGGTGATTGTATAACCGCATGGCTCTGGCGTTGGTTGGTTGGTTGGTTGGACGTTTAGGTAGTTCGACGTTGGGACTTTTTTTTTTTTCCACGCTCGAGATTCTCTTATTATTCTCGGGTCACTTTTTATTACACCTACTCACACACTCACCCATACCCTCTCGTGGGGCAAGATTTAATATAGCCTCACTGAAAAACACTTTTACTATTACCAACACAGCGAATAACAGCGAGACCCCTAACTTGTTTTTTTTTCTTTTTTTTTTTAAAAAAAAATGGAAATATCTCAGATAAAACCCTCAAACATCATCACGGTTGGCATACGTGATGTGATCTGTGCCATTGGAACAGTAAAGCAGATGAGATGATATACCTATAGGAGAGATTCTTACACGGGTGAAATACTGCGCTCTTGGCTTGCCATTTTTAAGACGACACATCTAGGTTGGGTAGGTAGGTAGGTAGGTAGGTATCTAGGCATACATGTGTAATATGGAGATATGTAAGTAGGTATGTAAACTGCGTACATCCCACACCAATGAGTTACATGTGGAAAAGGCAAGTAGGTAGGCATACAGATAACTTATGTAGATATTAACCAGTAGTTACACAAACACACACACACACACACATATATATATATATATATATGTAGCATCTTCCCCATCCATCCTCCACCTTACCATATCTACCCACACAATCACGCCCTCGTAACATTCATAGCCCTAACCCACGGCCGCCAATACCCCTCCACCGTGCCGGGGCTCCTCCAGCCGCTCCAATCCGCACTCGTCATGCCCCAGGTATCCGGGACCCCCTGACCGCCCGACCTGATCCTGTAGCTGCCCGCGAGCCCCCACACCATCCAGCTGACGCCGTGCTTCTCGGTGTACGCGCGGATGCAGTTCTGGACGTCGTTGGCGTACAGGGTGTCGTCCTGGGCGGCGCCGAACTCGGAGAACACGACGGGGGTGAGCCGGTTGGCGGGCGCGCACTCGGCGCTGCCGGGGATGAGGGAGGAGCAGTTTTGGGGGGCGTCGATGCCGAGGGCGTTGAACCCGTTGCGGTAGAGGGCGGCTTCGATGGCGGCGCACGTGCCCGTGTCCAGGTCCTCGCTCATCGGGTACAGGTGCAGCTCCCAGATGATCTTGTCGGCCCACGCATGGTCGTCGAGCGAGAAGTATACAGGGGGGCGGCGGGCGGCGTCGCGGATCGCAGTGCATTTGTAGCACGGGGCCGTGAGCAGGTTCGCGCCGGTGGTGAGGGCCGACAGGTCCTGGTCGTACTGCATTCCCGAGAAGGTGATGAGCAGGTCCGGGTTGGCGGCGTGGATGGCGTCGGCGCCGGCGCTCATGTTGCCGACAAGCGTCTCCCAGTTGTAGTATAGGTTGGTGCGGTTCCAGGACTCGCGCAGCTCGTTGCGCAGCGACATGGACACGATGTTTCGGTGGCTCTTAGCCCAGGTCGCCACGTGCGAGAGCCCGCGGCGCCAGTTGGACGCGTTGAAATTAATGTCGTCGAACCAGGCGTTGCCGTCCGTGTGGCTGCAGCACCATTGCGCCTTGCCGACGTGCACGTCGGGGTGGATATACACGCCTTTGGACGCGGCGATGTCCGCGATATCCGACCAGATCTCGAAGCGGGTCGTCTCGCGCGTCCAGCTGGGGTTTTTGGAAATTATCTCGTTTGTGACCTTGGTGCCATTTTCGTAGCCAAGGGCCATGACCATGGCAACTTCGAGGGGCACATCTTGACCTCCACGGTCGTATATCTCATCGACCATTTGGATCGCATAGCCCCTACCATAAGTATGGTTAATTACGAGTTTTGGTGACTGTAGTGACTAAAGTGGCCAAGGATGACTTACATGCGGATGTAGTTGAACCCTACACTAACGACGTCGTCCAATATAGCTTCGGCCGACTTCCACTCCAAACCTTCAGGGACCATCGTCTCGCCTGTTCAAAAATCAGTTTCCAATGCTACATCTTCTAACATTTTCAAGCGCCACTCACCACTCATGGGCCAGTTTACACCAGCCCATGTGACAACTTCATCACGACTATTCACTACATCTCTACCCTTCGTCCTCAGTGGCCCATAAGGCCACTGCCCAGTCGAGTTATCCTGACGACGACTTATACGGCTCCGCCAACGGGGCTCGAGAGCTGGAGACAGCCCAGGTGCAGTAGGAACCCACGAGGCGCAAGCCAAGCTCGAACCAAGCAACAACAAACCAGCGATCGCCTTCATCTTGGTGGACGCCGTTTGGGGGGAGGGGGATTAATTCAACTGTAAGAGGGAAGCAGCGTAGAAAGGAGGAGGGGCTAGATTTATTCGCGTAAATCTGCAACCTGCTACATACTTATAGCATTGGAAAGCAAGTTTCTGATCATGGTACCCATACCAAAACTTCACAATTAGGCTGGGCCAAGAAGGCCCTTTGCTCTTCCTACCTAGGGTAGTTCATGTATTTGACCATTTTTTTCAAGCGGGTGACATACCTCATTGGGTAAAACTACACAGTAGATCCCAAGCTGACAAGGTACATAGGCTTGTCAACATATTGCTGTTGGCATTGGCTCTAATACCGTATGTTTACAGATGACGTTCCTAGTAAAGAGATCAGTCAAGACTCAATACGAGAGAATCTGGGGTAAAACAACGATGCTTGCTTAGGACTAACCTACCTAGGGGTACCAAGGGTAGTTAAAATAATGGGGGAATGGGGGGAATAACTCCACCAATTCAGCGGGAGGAACTATCCTAGGTAAGACAAACGAAGTTTAACGAACCCCAATTCCTGCGGATAACTATTAGCGTTGTATTTAGGGTAACTAGCTATGATGAACTGTGGATCTATCGCTATTTATTAGCCCGAGGTTCCATCACTTTCTTAAGCGCATACTCCATAAGTAGGTACAAAGTAATACTTTGAAAGTATGCACTTGGAATTAAACTCTACTATAACGCGAGTATTATTGACGTGAGGGCCCTATATTTACAATTGAAGTAGGTGCCTAAGATAGGCTTCCCAACCTTCCAATGCTCGTTTCTCCCCTTAATCCATATGAATCTTCCTGTGAATGTTGGTAATCCATAAAACGCCATGCCGCATGATCCATTTATTCCACAACCCTAAACCTGCCAGGCTTTTACGTATGGAAGAAATATTCTATCCTTTGCTTCCACTGTGCTAGTCTATCATAATCAGGCTTCATCGTAAAGGGGGGGAATAGAGACTATAATCTTGCTTTCATGGACGATTCGGGTGGACTTGAAGCTTCCTCGTTGACGAGAATAGTCCCATTCTTCGGACCGTTGCCGAAGAAGATGACCTGTACCGTCAAATCATCTCTGTGCACTTGTTAGCAGACGCCCTACATTTGTTTGGTGTTCCTTGAAGTTCTTAAAATCACTGACCTGTATCGTCTTGAAAATGGCGAGACTAATGTGAGCAAGGCACATACTTGCTCCTCATTCTTTCCACCAAGAGCATTTCGGATGAGATGAGTGGCAACATTGTTGTCCTTCACGACAAATCGTTCCTTCTCGTCAGGTGAGATTCCCCATTGTCGTAATCGAATCGGGGTCTTCTGGCCATCAGGTCCAGCGTCCTTGCCAGCTTCGACGGGGAGTTCTTTGTTAGAGCCGAAGACTTTGGACCACATAGCACCAAATTGCGACTGAGATTGGTCTGCAGTTTGTGTCTCGATCCATTTGCCAACCAGTCCAACTACTTCGTCATTCGTCAACATCTCCCAGAGGCCATCAGTAGCCATAACCAAGAAGTCTCCATATTCGGGTTGGATCTTGGTCGTAGTGACGACAGGCTCAGCTGTCACGTAAGGGGGGGTTTTGAGGTGTGGCGAAGCGCTTCGGCCGAAGAATGATGCACGGAGGCGCTCAGAGACTTCCTTAGTCCATTTATAGCTAGCATCACCAAAGGCTCGAGTCGGCTCTAGGCCACCGAGGACTCGACCATTGTGAATCACACGGTCCTCCCCTGGATGGGCCTTACGCATTCGGGCGACTTCATTAGGGTTGTTTCCCGTTTGGTCTTCGGACAGGGCAGTTGCCGTCCATTTTCCCGACGAACTACGTCGGCCCAGAACAGCTCTAGAATCACCCGTGCAAGCGACGCGAAGCAGTTTAGTGCTGCTGTCATAAAACGACAATAGGGCACAGGAGCCAGACAAAGCGGGGCCTAGGAGCTCGGCGGCAACGCGCTTCGAGTTGGCTTTCAGAACCTTTTCTACACTCTCGTAGACGATTTCGTGGTCTAGGCGGGTGAATCCGAGTTTGATGGCGCTATCAATGGCCTCCGCTGACGGTACAGTTCCCAAAACTCCGGCTGCCTTGTAAGTAGTGTTTAGTTCTCGAGCCACAAAGTTAATCAAGGTTTGTCGAAGCTTCGCCGACGTTGTCCAGCCGCTACAAAACATTAGCATTTCAAATATGAATGCCGACAATATAGATGTACTGATACGTACGCATGTCCATCGAAAACACCCCAGAACATCCAGTCGTTGGTAGGCTTTTCGATATCCTTTTCGTCGCCTGGTGAGACTACTTCTACGACCTTCTCGGCATGGTCGTCCTCGATCGGGTTATTGCTCGCAACTTGCACTACATCGTATCGTAGAACTCCTTGTCCGCGGTTGACTAGGAAGGAAGTTTCGTTGTGGCGTAATTTCTCGGTTGCTTGCTCGGGGGTGAGCATCTCGAGCACGTTTCTTCCGCTACCGTCTACGTTCTTGGCTATTGGGCCTTCGCCCACGAATGTGCCGGTATGAAGTTCATCCGCTCCCACAACGAGTACGTTTCGGGTCTGTGCAGGATTGTTGGCGAACTGGGTCGGAGTGGTCGTGTATGATTTAGCGCCGACCTGTTCCAAAGTATTTCCTCCCTTGTATGTGTACCAGGCGCCGTAGCCAACTAGGCTAGATACTAAAGCGACGGAGACTCGACGGATGTACATTGATGATCGCAGGGGTTCGTTTACTGCATAATTGGGGCGTGTGGAAGAGGAAGAAGCGGAGGTTGAAGACGAGGCAGATCGGATGCTCAGGCTGGCGTTGTAGTGGTGGGGAAAGACACTGCGCCGCGGACGACTAGTACGAGCGAGGCCTCGAACAGTACATTGAAAGGTCGTCCGAAAAGCTCTGACAGGTACGCGACGCATTTGGGAAGAACTGGTGGCGGTCGACGAGAGAACGAAAGACAAGAAAATTAATTTGGCTAGGTACAATCGTCGTCGCTTAAAGCCCCAAGAATTGAAATCGTCAAAATAACCTTGGAACTTTGACTGGTTGAAGAGAGAGTGGAACTGTTTTGTACCGAGAATTGGAATCCGAGTTGTGGTGAGTTAGGTAAGCTGCCAAGGATCATGGATTATCGTTGTTTGATTTGAATCGTGCTCAATTTCTGTTTTCGGTAGGTGTTATGTACTGAGTATGTACCTATCCTGTGAAGGTACTAGGTAGTGTAGCGGCGAACTTATGTAGTGCAGTAGGTGGGGTGCAAATCACAAGAAGTCACATCCATGTGTCATTGTAGAAGACTACATATGTAGGTTAGAAATCAGGTACAACACAGTTAACTACACCTAATCGATATCGGATTTACAGATACCTACCCAGACCTCGGCTTCGGACCAGACCTTAACATTGAAATATCTACTACATAATACAGAAGCGCTCAACACATAATCATCACTTGAAAAAAAGAAGAAGAAGACATGGCCGCACCAAATCAATCTCTAGCCGATTTCCAACGCCATGTCACTAGCAATCCTGATGCGTTACATGTGGCCTTTGACACCTATCCATGGACCAAAGACCGGGTATTTCTCGTGAGTAGCTTGAGCCTAGAACCACAAGGCTTTCCACCATTATATATATATATATATACATACATACGTAGATAACTAAGTCTTGCAAAACAAGGAACAACTCAAAACTGCGCTGAGCAATGCCAAATCCAATATAGACAGGTTTCCTGAAATATCTCTACAGATTCGGGTCCAGAGGTTCGAGCAGTCAACTCAGCTCAAGGTTGACGGCGAAGCATTCACACAATGGCTTTCTAACAACAATCGGATACCAACAAGGTTCATATCTGAGCAGGCAGTTATGGATGAAGTGATGACAGTGGTACGTGCCAAATTTATTTGGTTTCTATTCAACTTGGACGATGTGATGTAGGCAGAGGTCTGCTAATACTGTTATCAACTGATCACTAGCCGGATCCACAAGACAGGCTGCTCGCGCAACTTCTGGTATTACTAGGCGACGAGCTAGGTCCTATCGCTCTTTCTCATCAAGCCGCATCTGCGCCTGATCAGGCGGGCGTCTCAATTCCTAGTTGGCAAAGCTCCGCTCCGACGGCAGCACTCTACATAGAGAAGGACCCGTCATCAGCGGAGCCCGGCAAGGAACCCTATCCCAAGAAATTCGAGGAGATTATTGAGTTCCTACAGACCGGTAAGGAAATACCTGGGATTAGGCAGATTCCAGATACGGTTATTGAAGATCCGACCATCACAACCCATGGCCGTCTTGCGGCGCCGCCGAAGCCATGGGAGATTGGGCGAACCCCCTCTACTGTTGAGTTAGAGCTGCCCGCTAAGCAGGGCGAAACATAGATAGGATAATGTGTAATTAAAGTGAAAGCCAGATAGGGTATATTGCGCATCGCGAGTGTCCATATCACGCGGAACCATTATTGTACATTGATACTCCATGCATCGTTAGCTGATATCCATCCTATCAGCAGGAGCAACTCCCATAGAACCAAGTGTCTTCGATAGCATCTCATTCTCTAGTTCCTTGCTCTTAGCATCTTTTACGTTTTTCACGTGTTGCGCTAGTCCCTCGAGGTTCTGAACACCATGCTTCACCAGATTTAGCAACATCTTCTCGGCCGACTTGCGCGGCGGCTCCCCGAATCTCTCGTCAGTCTGTAGGTGCAAACATTGATTGTGCGTGAACAAGGGCGGCACCTCGTAAGGGCCTTGCTTCGGCTCGGGACAGAAGGATCTAATGAAAAGAATCTCGTCCAACTCCATCCCGTTGTCGGGGATCCAGTGTTCTTCACTCTCCGCCAGACCCGGTTTCACCTGAAGGTGTTGTGGGAAATACGCGTCTCTCTGGCGGCATTCCTGGTGGATGCGTCTTTTTTCACGGTTGAGCATGTAATAGATGTTGTCTTGCACAGCATCCGCATGCTCATCGATACGAGCGAGCATCTCGTTGCGTAACTGGCTTGGATCTGACGGCAAATCCGGTGGCGGCTGTGTAAAATCTGTATGCGCAGGTACAAATATGCTGGGTGCGATACGTTGATATGCCGGAATTTCTTCTTCTTGTTGATTGTTTCCTGGTGGTCCGCCGTCCATAGCTGACATGCTTGCTCTCTAGAATAGGTAGACTCCGGGTGTCCAGCTAAGTGCGAGGCTGAGGGCAAGCAGCGGAGGTATTGATTTATTCCTGAGGGATTGGGGCAAGTGCTAGGTTGGTTGGGAATGTTAATAACAAATCTTGTAAAAAGTAAATGAACGATGAGTCCTGATCAGTTATTTGGAGTAAATCTATCTTTTAGATTCAATATTAAGGAACAGTGAAATTGTTGTAGGTAGGTAGGTATGTATTATGTAAAGCTGTGCTTGGTGGAGAGTGTTTGTTAGTGTTTTTCTGACACCTGGCAGTTCCACTTTATTTACTATGCAATTACTTGGACGGGCACTTGCCACTTGTCAGATAAACTGAAATAAACCAACTATAAAGCCAACCAGGTCAAATAGCTACAAATGAATTCAAATCCTGCTAACCTGACATAATGGATTTTCACTAACTACATATATAGATCTGACTTTGCTACACCTAGGTAGTTAACCTAGGTTAGTAGGTTATATAACTAACAGCAAAGGTAAATCTAAAAAGATGAGTTAGAATTTCCCCCCTTTCCCCCCTCGATACAAAAATCTTTCGTCCAACGCCAATTATCCAAAGGAATACAATAACGCAACAAGAATAGCATAATACAGAGGGAAAGTTTAGAAGAAGAAAAACCCCTCTTATGCTACCTACCTCAATACTAGGTAGGCAATACTGTAACCCAGGGTAGTTGACTTAACTCTGTCTGTCTTTGATATATCAAGTGGCCGCTTACTTACTTACTAACTAACCTAACCCCTTTTACACCACCATCTTACTACTTACCACCATCACCACCGATGAAAAAAGACAAGTCATTTTCAATCAAATCAACATTTTGATCCTCATCACTATGCCAATCCCGTGTTGCAAACTTTAAGTCAAGAATCTTTCTTTTAGTCTTTGCAACAGTGCTAGCTAGCCGTTGAAGTTCTGCCGGAGTTGCTTAACATCCAGATATAGTGCAGTTATGCATGCTTAGGACTCGATGTAAAATTCACAAATTCAAAACTTCACTTATAGAATCATTTGGGATCAGATATACAAAATCAAAACGTAGGTATATTCACGAGCGCTAAATCAAATTGCCAGGATATCGAGAAAATGCCCATGGAAACTCCGTTGGGATGCATATCAAATTATGGTCTATCAGCAACGCTCAAAGCAAATTTGCCACCGTTCCGAAAATATGATTGAACCTTAACCCTTTCTGCCCAAACCCAATGTTCTATGTTCGCTTGGCCGCGAGCAAAAGAAGCCGCTCCCGTGAGTTCGTCTTCGGCCCGAGGAAAATACCGAGATATAAACAATCTTCCTACACAGACGATGCCGGCAAACCCGGCCGAGGGGATATGTGTTGATGAGCCGGGCGAGTAAACAGAGCCGAGAGCTTAAAGCCGAGGCGGCTTCATTATAATAATCATGATGCTTTCCGACTCCTCGCCAATGCAATTCCATCTCTACCATTTGGTCCTGAGAACAACTCAGTAGCCTCGCGCAACCCCCGATAAACTTCTCATGTGAATAAGAAGCTAATATGAACAATTGGCGTGCGTGTCCGTGTCTCGTCTCATCGTCCCATCGTGCTTAGTCCCATCGACATCGTCACTGATTCATCATCACAAGCTAACATTATTCCCATGTTATACACTTTTCCTCCTAAATAAGAGGGGCGATTGGTTTCCAAATAAAAATTCGACTCGCGTCATCGTTACTGATAGCGATCGGTTAATTTTGAGGCCCCAATGGTAATCTGCAAAGGGCTTTCGATCGTGGCTATAAATACTCAAGTCAAGGTATTGTGACAGTTTATTGGCTGTCGGTTATGTTGTGTAGAGGAATTGACTCTTTATTGTCTTCATATGCTCTACTGATTTGGGAGGATAATTTTCTTGGCCGTCTCTGTGCTGCCGATACTCGTTTGAGTATCGCGTCTCTTTGCATTGGACAGCGTCCTGCCTAGTGGTGAAGTGGCATTATCCCTGGCAGCGTTCCTTCGTTTTGTTTTCATAACAAGACCTTCGTCGCTGTCACTGCCATCGTCGTCGTCAACGGCCCTTGTAGTCAGAAGAGAGGATGTCGCTAGAGGACGATGTGGCTGGGGAAGTAGTAACGTTTGAAAGTGATCGTCGTCGTCAAGAGGAAAGCCTGATATGGGCTCTTTGGTGAGGGCTGGCGGGGTTAAAGAATCGGTTGTGTCGATTAGGGATGGTCGGTCGACTGAACCTGGTTTTAAAAGAAATTCGCCCTCGGCATCAGCGGACACTGAGCTGGCACCACTAAGTAATGCTGGAAGGGAAGGATCCGAGCGAAATACATGCGAGTCGCCATTTCGACCTGCCAGATTGGTGAGACTCGTAGGACTTGCGGACTCGCTTGGACTGGTCAATGGGGTCATAATGGTGCCTGTAGATGTGGAGGTTGACATTGGGGCAGTTCGGGGATCCTCTATGGATGGCGGTCGGGTTTGCTCCAAGCACATGTCATCGTCGGGAGATGGAGGACACTGCATGGAAGCGGTACTGTCTTTTCTTCGCGAGGCGAACAACTCTTCGCGCTTTGATTGCTCTTCGGCTTCCTGCCGTTGACGGCGAAGCATTTGTTCGCGAGCTCGCGCGAAGGATTCTGGGGTGGATGAATTATATACCCTCGGTGGTGGAGTTGGGCCTTCCATTTGTATAGCACGATGAGCTGTCACCGGGCGTTGTTGGTCTGATTCTGCGGCACCTAGGTGGTTCTCGTGCATGTTAGGATCGGAGTGTGGTTGACCATGTTGATACGTACGAATCGCACGAGGGGAGAAGAACATAGGGGAAGGCAAGGCAACGCCATCAGGGCCAGCATACGACTTGGTTTCTGGGGGATGAACAGAAATTGGGCGTTTAGGAAGTTCCAAATTCCCTGGAGCTACCGCCGTGCTTAAAGCGACCTTGGCTTCAGCACGCTTATCATTATTTCCGAATAATCCTCTATCTACTGACCGCGAGCGGGATGATTCATCCATGAGTCCTATGTCTCGAGCCTTGCGCAAGGAAGCAATCGGGTCATCTCTAACACAAGTTTCGAATGAGGGGGTATGTGATGTTGCATGTGCTTCTCTCCCAGGTGCAAGAGCAAGGATTGCATTAGTAATCGATCTTGTTCGGCCGTGCCGATGGCTTAGATGGCCTCTAATAGATGATAAAGATGTCGACGTCGACGGCGATCCAGTTAGATCCGAATGTGTGTTAAAATCACCGATAGAGCCGCTTGCGTTGCGCCTAAAATCTCCACCTATCAATGACCCGCGTCGAGAGTAGTAATCTGGCACATCATGGATCGGAGACTGCTGGGGCGTCGCGGTGACGCTTTGCGATAGAGGATGGTCGCTTTCTCTGACCGTGGCAAAATAGTCATCGGGCCGTAGACTCTTTCGGCGGGCGTCTCGCACATGAGGTGTTGCTAAGTTGAGGGGTGTATCACCCGCCGAGCTAGCAGCGCTGCTAGTCGCCCTTCTCCTAGAGTTACCCTCCGACCTGTCAGTGCGTGGATGCATTACCTTACCAACCGCCTTCTTCACAACGGAACGAGCCCTTTCGAGAAAGGTGAGAGGCACGACCGCACGAGTAATCTCTCGCTCGTCAACTTCGATCTTACGGCCAGAAGTACGGCGCGATGGGTCTGTCTCGTCAATCCATGCGATAAGGTTTGGAATACCTTGGACAACCCAAGGATGGCGCTTCACTTCTCTTAGTCTGATCCGCTTTTCAGGATTCTTGGTCAGCATGCGACGCAAAAGATCGTATAATAAGTCGTCGATCTCTTCATAGGCTAGAGCGCTATCGTCCCGGTACGGCTCGCTGTTAACGCGCTTGTACAGTGAAGTAGAAGATGGAGAATGCTGCGGGTCAACTGGCCTGAGTCGACGGCGTGGTATGTATGCCTCCTCCTTGGCTATTTTCTGGAACATTTGGTACTCGTCTTCAGCCATGAAAGGGATTCGGGCAAAGATTAGGCAATACAGCGTCACTCCTAAAGACCAGACATCAATCTGTTCCGATATCTTTGGTTGCTCTTCCCCTGGGTCTGTATAGCACAGCTCAGGCGCAAAGAAAGCGGGCGTACCAACGGTTTTAGCTAACTCGAGATCATCATCAAAGTCACGTGCTTCAGATTCTGATACAAGCTCATCTGGTTCGCCTTCACGGATAGGTCGACCAAAGTAGGACACGCCGAAATCTGAAATCTTCACCCTGTGCTCTCTAGTCCATAAGAGATTGGCTGGCTTAATATCACGATGGACTACACCTTCGTAGTGCAGATATTCTAGGCCAAGCACGGTGTCTCGGAAGGTAGCACGGGCTTCCTCTATTGTGAAGCAGGGCACGTATGAAAAGTCGTCGGCAAAAGGATCGTGTGGCTGATCAATCGAAGACATATGGGATATAATCGAGTCAGCCATACTCGGAGACCGGCCACGAAACATAGCTTCTTCGGGATATGCGCTGGTTAATGTCCTGTCTAAGGCGGCTGAGGATCCAGGCTGAGATCGTAGGGGCCCAGGAGTCTCGACGTCACTCTCGGTATCATCGCCCAGACCGATTGCCGAAGCATCATACTCTGAGGGAAGGGGAGTACTCGCGCGAGAGCCGGAGGGAGCAGACTGGTTATATGAACGAGTTGGAGATACGGCCCTAGAGCCAGCCTTGGAAGATAAGGAAGCCACTCTACGTGGTCGGAAAAGTTCGCTTCCATCTCTCCCTAGAGACCGTGATGGGCACTCAGAACCATCGTCATTTGCGGCCCCAAACTCGATACTCCAAAAATCATCCGGACCTCGCTGAAATTGTTGCATTCTCGCTCTCTTTATGTCGTTAAGAGCTTGCCGCTTTTCAAGAAGAAGTATATACCGCTCTTCTTCATCGGTGCTGAGTTCTCCGCGCATTTCTTTCTCGATTCTCCGCCTCTCTATGCTGCAGATGTGTGGTAACCCTTTCTTTCGCCATATTACTTCGCCCATCTCGACATGTTCTAAGACCATATAAATCTTTTTGAATTCGGGGTCGTCGATGATCTCGAGTAGAGCCACGACGTTGGGGTGGCGGATTTTCTTGAGGATAGCAATCTCCCGCTTCGTCTTATCTTGGGGAGACGCAGTGACTTTTCCCAAACGGCGCTTCTTAGAAAACCTAGGGATAATTTTGATTGCCACATTCTCGCCAGATTCTAGGTTACGAGCCAGCTTCACCTTGCCATGGACTCCACGGCCAAGTTCTTCAATCACCTCATATTGATTGATGATCTTACGTCCCGTCATCAAGTCCATATCAACAAGGGCTTTGTGCGTCCTACAATTATACAGGTTCATTAGCACAAAGGAGATAGACAGTACAAGGCCTGGACAAGAATACAACTAAGTCGGAGACCTAAATCGGTCCCTACTTCGGCCGTAATGCTCGACCGAGTTCCCAAGGGAGAACATCTAGCCACAAAATTCATGCAATCAAATTTACGGGAGAGACCTACTCTCGGACTCTATGATTTTGCAGGGGATGTAAATAGGGACTGGCCGACAAGGCCAACGGCGTGGTGTTCTCGGAGGCGGAGTACGGTAGGAAGGCATTGGGACGAGGGTTCGTGGGGCTGAAGAGCCCCGGAGAGGAGATCGGGGTACTACTAGCGGTCCTGGAGGGGACATTACTGAGGATGGAGGTATTATCGGAGAGGAGAGGAGGTTGGGTTGGTTGTTGGGGATCCATAGCGGTGGAAGGAAGAAGCTGAAGGCTCTGGAGGAATTGTAGTCATCATTCTGGGTGAATATCGAAGCATGTCGTCGCTAATACCTCGCATATAGGAGGAAAGAGGAGAAAGGAAAGCTGTAATTTAACAAGCCATTACTTGAGTGACATGGAATTGGATAAGACACATAACCGGGTGGGCTAGGTGAAAGCTAAAAGAAGACAAATTGGATATAAAAGTGGGAAGTGGATGTTGTCGTCGTGCCAAAAATTCGAGTCCAAGAAAAAAAAGAGAGAGAGAAAAGCAAGAATTGGAATGATTCGTCGCAGAATGGGACGATGATGAATGAACCGGACGACAGCTGCAGTACTAGGTAGGTTAGGGAAGTGGGCAAAAAAAAAAAAAAAAAAAAAAAAAAGGTCTGAGAAAGTTTGGTCTGACTCTCTCTCTTCTCTCTCTCTCTCTGGCGTGAGTGGAGAGTGTTGCAGCAGCCACCACCGCCCAGCACAGGAAGAAACAGAGGAGGACCAGCCCAAAAGACGCGAAAGGGGCCAATGACGGAGGAGGGGGGGATCAGGGGAGTATCCACTAATACGTAGGATACAACGGATACGTAGCTACCTAAGTCGGAGCTAAGATTGATAATCGGTTGTCTGTGTACTTGGATACGTAGGGTACTTAGCTATTTATGTATGTATGGCCAACCCTAGGTAGGTACCTAATCTTTACAACATTGAACATTCAATCATTGCCAGTGATGTTAAACATCCAAGTGTCTGTGCGTCTGTGCGTTTATGTGTTGCACACCACATCAAACTTATAGTAGGTACATATGATACACATGATGGTACATAGTTATGTACCATGTAATCTATGCACCTTCTTAATGTATTATGTATCTTCTTTCTCAAGGAATTGATATCAATGGATGAACAACAACATTGAACACACACACACGCACACGTATGTACATCATATGTGGATTCCTTTACTTATGTACTATGTATTAAAGACACAACGCTGCTACTATGTTAGTTACTGTATGTATGTACAGACTTCAATGCTACTAACGCTAAAAGCTAGGTACGCTAGGATGTGCACGGTACGCGACTCGCACTGGGCTCACCCTAAATTTGTAGGTACAAGGTATTATTAGGTACCTAGGGTGAAGGCTCAACTTTTATTCGGGTTGGACGTGGGCATTGACCAACACATGGAGAGATTGGTCCTGCCCTGCCCCTCGCCCCTCTCGCTCTTCGCCCCTCCTTCCTAACGCCAACAACTACATAGTTACAATCAATCGTTCGGTAAGTTGCGGCACGCACAGTACTCTTAGTTGTCCTAGCTTTCAAGCCAAGGTTTTTAGTTCCCCCAACCGTCATTAATTATAAGTACCCAGTACCCAGTATCTGTAGGGACTCGGTAGGTACATAGCAGTACTATGTAGTAGTAGTCACTACTACATAGTCACTACACTACCCTAGGTATGTACTAAGTATAACATTGAACTTCAAGAAGTTCACGAGGAAAATGGATCCAGTCTCACACCTACAATTTATATTATGTAAAATATCAACATGGAGAGCTTCAGTTTGCTAAACCACCTAGGTAGAATCCATCTATGTTCGCTTACCTTGGTTACCCCGTAGGTCTGACTTGCAGCAGAAGGCAATCCTAAGCTTCAGTTCATCATCATCTTTCTTTCATTCATTCCTTCTGTCAGTCATGATAGAAAAGCCCGGATTGGGGATAGACTAAACGACCTGGGATCGCTTTAGGCATCCTTGATTCGCCGCGGGGCCTTTTGGCAACAAACGAATTGATGTAATAAGTACCAAGGTAGAATACTGGAAACCAACATTGAATGCTCCAGAGTGTGACGGTCCCTGACTTGTTCATCTTACATAGTATGCATTGATGGATCAATCGATTATATTGCATGTAGGTTAGAGCCTATTCCTTCTGTTCTTGCCGCGGTTGGTAATATATATAATGTTGAATTCGTCCGAGAGATGTCAATGTCTATCCAAATAACTACTAGGTAGTACATAATACATATGGTAGTGTGTACAAGACTACAAGTGCCTATGCCTGCATTATTCAATGCTCTCATTTGTTTAGGTATAACAGGGATATGCTCAACCCCAGCATGGTTCATGGATGGATGGGTCAAGGATATGGCAGCTTATCGCACCAAGGAACCTAAAGGTAACTGGGATTATGGTTGGCTTATTTCCTGGGCCCTTGGGAAAGAGGAAGATGGAAAGGTTCAAGTTGAACTGTTTCAATGTCCTAAGCTGTTTTCGGTTGTCCCACATTACGCAACATTGAGGTCAACTTTGCGGAACAAGGAACATTTTGAATTTTCAAGACCATTGAACTCAAGTCATCAATTCAATGTTATAATTGCTATACTAATAGTACCTAGTAGTTAATTGTAATCATTGATGATTAATGTATACAAGTACACATAACAAGTACACATAGCTACATACGCATGCATACTATATTTCACACCACGTGTACCCGAACTCAGCCGTTGCGGCAGGTAGCCTTGATAGACATTGATAGACGTTGATAGACATGGGAAAACCCTGAAGGGAATCTTCAACCGAGTAACTATGTACATACTAATGTGTAGTACATGCATGTGCATTGTGTCTTTCAATCATTCAATGTTGTGTATACATGTAATGTATTAGTTCAATCTTCTTCCAATGAGAGACTAGTTAGCCTTTGATCCGCGGATTGGGTTCTTCAACCGTTCTTGTCTGTATCATCATACTACATGATCATACAACATGATCATACTACTACATGGTAGTAAATAGTAATTCATCATGTCAATCTAGGTACTAGGACTACATGTAGGTATATTCTATATCAAACGTACATACATAAGTTAGTGGCAAGCAAGGCTTCGTCCGAGGCTTGTCCGTTCGGCTCGGAGCGCTGTGTTTTAGAGCATAGTTCGATTGAATGTTGAGCGTTGAGAATTAGTTATTATAACTACCTTTCACATGGGAAATGTCTCGACCGGACAAAAATAGTCATCAATGTCTTATCCTGTCTTATCCTGTCTTATCCGCACAAAAAGTGTCCAGTGGCCACGGCGCCTTGTTGGACTCTCCAGCCTTGCTGATCCGGACCCGCCCGGTTCGGTTCACAGGTTGAAGTCGTAATTAGATCGGCAACGTCCACAATTCTTTTTTGAATACATCGTCAATTTGATCGGCACGTTGGTTGCGGTAACAGGCTAACAACAAATGCCAATCTTCTGATAACAATTACCAATCTCTATCGCGCGTGGGATGTTGGCCGAGAATAGCAAGCAATATAAAATATTGGCTATCATCATTCATCGATCTTTCTACGCCGTACGGCATAGTACCTATCCATGTAATGTATGAGGCTGTTATACAGTGGTATTTGATCATTGCCTTTCTATTTCTATATACAGTAACTCCTTGCAATAGCAACACTACCATAGGGTTTTGGATTCTCTTACCTAGTAGGTTTGTCTAAGCGCTAAAGGATAGAGGATAGGTATGTACTAGGTATGGAAGGCAACATTGGTTAATTGACAGTCGCTCGTTTCTACAGTTGAGGGATATTATGTATCAATTGATGTATATACCTGGTATTAGCAAGGCAACCTGCACGACTCGAAGCAGGTTCCTAAAGTGCGCAGCCCCTTTAAGGGGAACTCTTGCAACTTGGCGCCGTTCTTCACTCTATACTAACTAGCTTACTGGCCTACTAGTTAGTTACATATCGCCTAGTAGGCAAGTAGATAAAGTAGAGAGGGGCATCGGGAAGGAAGACTTTACATATAGATACTGTAGCTGAATCACGGGTAGCAACCCTGACAACACGGAAAGATTATTCCTTATGCTGTGCCATGATTCCTGAGAAGGATGAACTGCATCGACCACAGTCTGGACCATCTGGTCCCCAGGCTCACGATGTCATCACAGCACACAGCACACAAAACCTACGGCATAGATCAAGGACGTCCGATACTACACGTGCTCTACCCGCAAGTCAGAAATCGCAAGATGGGCGACCCACGAAAAAAGCCCATCCCTTTTTTCTTTTTACCTACAGTAGAGTAGTAACATGGCCTCCTTTTTCCCCACACACACTTTTCCCCAGACTCTTTGCCCTTTCACCATCGGGGGAGAGGGGCTCGATATTGTAGTACATAATTACTACATACCTACTTTTTAGGATCTGTCTAGTAGGTAGGTAGGTAGCTATTATGCCATTCTCAATTCCATCCATGTTTGCAACCGCACAGCGCTTAGGTGTTGCTCACCACCCCGCATCGCCCGCCACCTAATGTGGTCGAAAATGGTACCTCGCTTCGGACCTACAACGCTACAATATCCCGTTGCACCGCAGCAAGATGTCTGGGATTTTTTTTTCTTCCCTGAGGGAAGTTAGGCAAGTGTCCTTTCTTTGCGAATCGACAATTCACACTCGGATCTATGGCTCCACGTTGAAGATAGTAGGTAGCAGTGGGTCCAGCTATGTACAAGCAACAGGATTCTTTTTATAAAAAAAGAGACGTGAGGGCAGGATTAGGGAGGTAGGTACATATATGTAACTAGGCGCGGGTTGTGCATTCGAGTCCCCTTCCTCTTACAGTATCAATCGTCCAACATTGATTGGATGTCGGCGATCTTCATTGGAAGTTTCCCTTCAGAGGTATCACTGCACTATCACAAACATACTTTACAGTAGTTACATGGTTACCGTGACGCTCTCTACATATGTACCTGGTCTTCAGAGAGACGGGACAGAGCTCCGGGTTACAGGGGTTCAGAATACCTGTTATAGTGACGCTGTTACTACTACATAGGTGTTACTAGCAACTACAACTGTGGTAATGTATGTAGTACGCCAATAAACTGTTTCCCATTTCTGATCTGCGCCCGTTTTTTCCCGCTACAAGCGACAATTGGCGATTTAAATGTTTGCTGGTGTTCAAGGGGGAAAAAAAGGAAAAGGGAAAACCAAAAAGGGGGGAGTATCTCATCGCCCACATCATCGTCAACGCTAGAATTGTACTCGTACTCGCTACGTACCTACCTAAATAGATAAGGTAGCGAAGAATACAGGCTGTGCAGTGTGCGCTAGAGCTAGAGGTTCTTCGCACTACACTAGGTCTACGACGCTCAGCTGGATGGATATACCTATAGAATGCTAACAAGCAAGGAGGGTCAAGTGCCTTGCAGATGCTCCAAAACCTGGGGTAACGGATTACCCATCTTGCCGTCTTCCATCCGTTCGTGCCGATGTGTTGCAAGTTACATGCTTCCGATTCCTACCTCCATATTCCTATATTCATACTCAGGTATGTATGTGTGTATGCATGTCTGATATATGTATGAAGAAACTGCCTCGCTGGTTTGGCTCTAATCAAGCGAATACGGATTTTATCGCCGAATGGCATACCTATGCGCATAGTTATATGTACTCAAATTCCATCAATTACCAACGTTACGCAGTGCAGTATATAGTATGATATTAATACAGTGCCATCAGGGGCCCTGCACGATGATATTACTTGCATATCAGTACTAGTCGCACCGTTACAGTTGAAGTGGACGTATCGCGACCTTGCTCCCGATACCCCCTCGCAATCGCAATGGTCCCCTAACCAGACCCTACCAGGGATTTACCGATAGAAAAATGATACATCACTTTTTCTGCCAATTATCTAACCTAGGTTAATATTATC